AGAGAGTCTGAGCTGGAGTACTGGGCAGCCGCTTCTCCCTCTGTGTGTGCCATGCTGCTCTCCCCTGAGGGAGACCCCGACGCCCTTGACATATCGACTCCTCGCACTTACCGCGAGGCAGTGTCAGGGGCGTGGGCCTCTCAGTGGAAAGCGGCTATGGACTCAGAGTTGGCGTCTTGGAGATCCACAGGCACCTACGTCGACGCAGTTCCCCCTCCCAGGGCGAACGTAGTTGATGGCATGTGGCTCTTCAAGGTGAAGCGGCCGCCTGGAGCACCGCCGGTGTTCAAGGCGCGCTACGTGGCTAGGGGCTTCAGTCAGCGTGAGGGAGTTGACTTCTTCCAGACCTTCGCCCCGACCCCGAAGATGACTACTCTTCGGGTGTTACTCCACATAGCAGCGCAGCGAGACTACGACCTGCACTCCCTCGACTTCTCCACTGCGTTCCTCCAGGGCCGACTGCACGAGGAGATCTGGCTGCGTCGTCCTCCTGGCTTCACTGACACCTACCCACCTGGGACCCAGTGGAGCCTGAGGCGACCAGTCTACGGTCTCCGCCAGTCGCCCCGTGACTGGCACGACACTCTTCGCTCCACGCTTCGTGACCTTGGGTTCAGCCCGTCCTCCTCCGACCCGTCGCTGTTTGTTCGAGCGGGTTCTACTCCTTTCTTTATCCTTGTCTACGTCGACGACTTGGTGTTTGCTACAGCAGAGAGGGCAGCCCTGGCTCAGGTGAAGTCCGAACTGCAGAAGAGACACAAGTGCACTGACCTGGGTGAGCTCCAGCGTTACCTTCGCTTGCAGATCACCCGGGACAGAGCCGCTCGCACCATCACACTGACGCAGTCACACATGGTGCAGCAGGTCCTTCGACGGTTCGACTTCCAGTTCTCCACCACACAGCCCACTCCTCTTGCTGTTGACCACAGACTCACGGGCCCCTTTCCTGACGAGCCCTTTGAGTCCAGTGGACCCTACGCAGAGCTGGTGGGCTGCCTCATGTACCTGATGACTTGTACTCGACCGGACCTCGCCTTTCCCCTCAGCATCCTTTCTCGCTTTGTTGCGACTGGGAGACACCGCCCTGTCCACTGGACAGCTGCTGTGAGGGTGGCGAAGTACCTGGCGACTACATCAGGCATGGGGCTTGTGCTTGGAGGGACTCAGCCAGTGGCGTTGACTGGTCACTGTGACTCTTCCTACGCTGACGACGTGGAGACTCAGCGCTCGACTCAGGGTTACTGCTTCAGTCTGGGAGCTGGTGCTGTGTCGTGGAGGTCTACACGGTCGTCGTCTGTGCCTACTTCCAGTGCAGAGGCAGAGATCTACGCTGGTGCCATGGCGGCTCAGGAGCTTCGCTGGTTGACCTTCTTGCTCGCCGACCTTGGTGAGCGGCCTCGCTCTGCACCGACCTTGTACGCTGACAACAAGGCCATGATCCTCCTGTGTCGAGAGCCTCGACTGGAGAGCAGAGTGAAGCATATTGACGTGAGGTACTTCCTCCTGCGAGAGCTGCAGCGACGCGGTCAGGCATGCCTGGACTTTGTGGCCTCAGAGGCCAACACTGCAGACGTCTTCACCAAGGCCTTGGCGCTTGGTGACCACCACAGGTTCTGTGTGCAGTTGGGGCTTGTTGAGGTAGGCCCTAGGTTGCTGTAGTCCTGTTGCTTCCTCTGCTTGTTGTGTTTTGTTTTTATATCCTAGTGAACTCTTGAACTGGCCTTGTGGCCGCTTGCTTGCGCTCGGAATTTGTGTGGTGTCCTTGAGATCCACCCTGAGCTTGTCTTGCCTTGACTGGTCTTGTGACCATTTGTTTCACCTTGCTTGCCCTGGTGTCCCTCACTTAGCCTATGGGGGTGTGTCAAATGTTAATGTTATGATAGGCTGCAGTGAGGCACTCCCTAGAGGGTACAACATTTGTAGGACTCCTATTTGTATGCTTGCAAACCCTAATCCCAAAACATTCCGTTGCATGCTAATTATGAGAAAGGAGCATGAATCAAGAAGCTATTCTGGCGACTCAAAGCAACTTCCGAGTCCGTACCTGGTAGGTCACACAATACTGTACCCTGCCCACAAATGAAGTGCAATTCAGTTATATACTGTACACCGACAATAAATGGTGGAAACAGCCTTATAGATGATCCGTGGTCATAGATACACGCCTATTGGGCTGGCAGGGTTGTTTGAACCGAGTGGCCCAGGTTTCAGGGGGAATTTCTTATATTATACCCTCGTCCGTGTCAGAAGGTGGCCCACCCTGCTGCTGCAGGGGCGTTGGTGCTTGTGGGTGGGTTGGATGGAGCAGGCTGAGTTGCTGGTGGGAGAGACGACTGCAAGAAAGAGAACACAGCACAGGACAGAATACGGCAGCCAGGCAAGCAAGCAGTGTGTTTCCACTTTAGTTTGATTGAGGAAAACAGGGCAGGAAAAAAAGCGGCACAAGAATTGTAGAACGACGCTCGATGACAAACATGCCTATCGGTTGGGCCTCCTTTATGAATGAAACGAATCAGAAGTACCAAACATGTCTGTGCTAGATATGGATATTTTGAGTAATTAAAGCCATGTACCTGAAGCTGTGAGAAGTCGGCAAATGCTCCTGATTGGCCTCCTCCCCCTGGTGCACCTGGAGCACCCATGTTTCCTCCTCTCGCTGCTCCTGCTGCTGCTGCTACTGCTACTGCGCCTGCTGGTGCTGCTAACCCTGCTGCTGTGCTTGAAGAGCCTCCGGAGAATGAAGAGCGAGACGAGGAGGCAACAGGAGGAGCAAGGCGAGCGATGCCACTGCTGCTGCTGCTGCCGGGAGGAGGAGCTAGTATGGCTACCCGGCCTGACGAAGTGGAGGAGGACGATGATGAGGAGGCGGAGGAGGTGGAGGAGGATGGTTTTTTCATGTTGATGCGGATGGTTTCCCCCTCCTGCACACCGAGAATATGATAAGAATGAGTCCAAAAGGAAACGTGGAAATGTGAAACGCCTTTCGGCAAATTTTCAGCAGCTTATACACACGAGTGTTACTAAAAGTAAAATACCTTTAATTTCAAGTCCAATTTTGGCTGAGAATCTTCTTGAGCAGAATCCGCTTCTGCTGACGCCACATCCGAGGCTCTTTGCCTCTCATTCAAAACATGCTTCTCATGATCCGTCAGCGCGACATTGAAGTCGAAAGCCGAGTTTCTCTCCGCGAATCCGAGCCCGATGAACGCGTGGCGACCGCGGCCGTCGTCGATCTTAAGCACGAAGTATCGCGAGCTGTCCGTCGCGGCCTCGACGGACGCGTCGCGTCGACCAGGCGCCACGTGGCACGTGGCGAACAGCTCGCCGGTGTTACTGTCCTCCAGGCGAATTTCGCACGTGTCGCCAACCGAAACAACGCGGAGGCGTCCCCCCCAAATATTGTCGCCGACGAGCCACTCTGCGCATTTGTAACCACCTGACGACTGTCGCGGGGGTATTTTGTAGACGGAGACTTCGCGAACGACGAGGAGAGTGTGCTCCAGAGGGCCATCGGGTCCTTCGTCGAGCGACATGGCCGACGGATTCGGAGTGTGAAGATTCGGCGAATCTTATATTGTAATGAGGTTGTAATGTTGACGGAAATGTGATGACCGGGACGGGACGGTTGAGATGCAGACCACAGTCACAAAACGGATTACGAAGTGTTGCTGCCTGTTATGGTCGACGTATGCATTCACGGCGACGGTGTAAGCGAGAGAGAGGGTGAGGGGACTGATTGAAAGATTCAGTCTCTGCCGGCTTGACGCTGTCAGTTTAGGACAGCTAACTACTCTGCCTGGTCAAGCAAATTTGTATGACTTGATTCAATAAGTCACATCGGGCTGATCTCACCAAGTTCTGTCACGCGAATCTGGACTAGATTTGAGATGCGGCGGGTGAGAGGAGGGTGGATTCTTATGCACACAATCGCATTCTAAAAGGATACTGTCACTATCCGTCTTCGTTGGCGCTCCTCACTCAGTCAGCTCCCACCGCCATGGATTCTAGTCAGGTCAGCATCAAGGTCTCTACTGAATTCTAAACCAACATCGTATCCTCGCTTGTGCATCTGCAGGAAGCAGATGGAAACAAGATTCCGAGGATCTAGTTTAATACCGTTCCTACACGAAACATCCTCAGAACGGATTAGTTTCAGATCAGTTTCATCGTAGCAGGCTTGAGGGTGGCATTCTGTAATGCTCAGAAGGCGTTCTTAGTGACACAACGCTAACGCTAAAATGATACTCAAAGTCCATTGACTACGTACTGCGGTCATCATTGTGCAATGCAAATAATACAGTGTATGGGGAATACAGGTCTTGCAGGTTCTTTACATATATTTGATTTGGAAAGGTGTAGACTGAGAAGTCGCAATTGATTCAGTATTGCACACATAATATATTTGTCTGGCCTAACCTAAGTATAATCACATACACATGAGAAATATGTGATATCCTTATTCATGCCATGCCAAACTAGTGGGGGGAGAGTAAGATACAATGCCATAATCCAAATGCCGTTTATCCACTGTCACTGGCCTGCTTTTCAAGGGCTGGCACGACAGGAGATTCCCGCGGTTCACTTTTTAGAGGTGCGCTTTCATCCGCCTCGGTGGTGGTTGGAAGAGTAGGAGCCACTGGCACCTTCTCTTTGCCTCCTGGTCTCGACGATGCATTGCCATACCACACCATTCCCATGATCGAAAGTAGCATCCCCATTAGGACCTACAGGGTAATACCGGTAGGTAGGTGTGGGTGTAGCATGGGGAGGGGTTGGGAGTTAGGTCGAACACAGGAGAGAGGCGTTCTGAAGTGGAGACACAGACAAAAACCAAAATGTGATGACAATGATATGGCAAGGCATGGCCTGGTATGACATAGTGTGGCACGGCACAACATGGCATCGCAAGACAAGACTCAGCCTGGCTTAGCATGAAATGACTTCCAGCATGTGAGTCTTCATGTGGCCCAGGCCCTGGAAATTGCCTCAAGGTGCTTCCTCTACACCTCATCCTCGCCCTCAAAGCTAGCATGCACCATGAAGCGACTTACCGGTGCGTTGAGTCCATACAATCCAAAGAGAGCGTATCCAAACACGAGCACGGAGAGGGTCTTCATGTGGCCCAGGCCCTGGAAGGTGAGCGCTGTGAATCTTCTTACCCTCTAAACCTCATCCTCGCACCATACAGGCACTCACCGGTGCGTTGAGTCCGTCCAATCCAAAGAGAGCGTATCCGAGCACGAGCACGGAGAGGGTCTTCATGTGGCCCAGGCCCTGGAAGGTGAGGGCTGTGAAGCGACCGATGCAGATGAACTGACTCGCGTTGACCGCCACAGCTATCAGGCATGAGAGCCCAATGCACAGCTGGTGGGGGCGAGGGGTGGTTGGATGGGGAAATTTGGGGTGTGGGGAGGGATGGGAAAGGTCAAGAGCATGAAGAGACTCGCATTCACCGCTGGCTATGAGGAACGATAGGCTGATGCACAACTGGTGGTGGTGGGGAAAGGTGCGAGAGGGGGGTGGGGGAAGGGGGTAGGGATGGAAAGGGAGGGCATCAACTGACTTGCATTCACTGCCGGCTATCAGGCATGAGAAACCGATGCACAGCTGGTGGGGGCGTGGGGTTGGTGGTAACGGGGGGAAGAAGAATGGGAGTGGGAATAAGAAAAGGAGTGGAAATGGGAGTGGGAGTGGGAATAAGAATGGGAGTGGAAATGGGAGCGGGAGTGGGAACGGGAGTGGGAATGGGATTGGAAGAGGTAGAGAGCGTATCAAAGCACAAACACGGAGAGCTCTTTCATGTGGCCCAGCCCTGCGCAGACCTGTGTGGGGAGGGGAGGGTAGGGGGAGTGGGCGGTGGAGACGAGGGGAATGGAAGAGGCATGAGGCAAGAGGGGCCGATACAGAGCTGTTTGCAGGATGGTAAAGGAGTGGGAAGGAACGGAATGGGTGGAAAGCGGGAATTGTCACACCACAGACGGCACTCAGCACAGAGGGAACACTGAAGCCGTAGATGTCAACCCGGACGCCAGAGAGCAGCCAGTCAATCAGCGGCCTTGGCAGAACGAGGGCGAATGCTTGCAACAGTGCTAGAGTGAACGATACGATACCATGAATTTACCACAGAAGGCACTCAGCACAGAGGCATACGTTACGCGAAAGACTCACCACAGAGGGAACACTGAAGTCGTAGCTGTCAACACGGGCACCAGACAACAGCCAGTCAATAAGAGGGCCCAGCAGAACGAGCGAGCCGGCTTGCACGGGTGCTGTGTGGGAGAGCAGGTCGAACGAGCCCAGGCGATACTTCTTCTGCAGGTATTGCACGTACTGTGGAGGGGAGTGGAGAGGGGTGAAGAGGGGTGAAGCGGGATCGGAAGGGGCATGTAGGAGGAGTTGAATGGAAATGCGGAAGCGGAAGGGAAGGCGCAAAGCTGTGTGGGAGAGCAGGTCGAACGAGCCCAGACGGTACTTCTTCTGCAGGCATTGCACGTACTGTGGAGGGGAGTGGAGAGGGGTGAAGAGGGGTTGGGCAGGGTGGGAAGGGGCATATAGGAGGAGATCAATGGAAATGCTGAAGGGAAGGTGAGAAGCTGTGTGGGTGGGCCCAGGCGGTACTTCTTCCACACCAGAGCACTCATGTATTGCTGCAGGGCGGTGGAGCAGACAGTGACAGCCGCTGCCACCATGCCCTTCACGCTCAGACAGCTGTCGGCGATCGTGCACGTGGCAACTCCTATGAGCACCAGCAGCACGTTTATTGGGAGGCCATAACAGCTGTTTCAGACCTTTCTACACCAGAACACTCACGTATTGCTGCAGGGCGGTAGAGCAGAGAGTCATGGGAGCTGCCACCATGCCCTTCACGCTGAGACTGCTGTCAGCGATGGTGCACGTGGCCACCCCTATCAGCACCAGCAGCCAGCAGCAGGTCCGCTGAGAAGCCACAACAGCTGCCCTATGACCTATTTTACACCGAAGCACTCACGTATTGCTGCAGGGCGATGGTGCACGTGGCCACCCCTCTCAGCACCAGCAGCACGTCGATTGAGAAGTCACAACAGCAGCTTCAGACCCTTTCCTACAGCAGAGCACTCACGTATTGCTGCAGGGCAGTGGAGCAGACAGCGACAGCCGCTGCCACCATGCCCTTCACGCTGAGACTGCTGTCAGCGATGGTGCACGTGGCCACCCCTATCAGCACCAGCAGCACGGAGAGGCGCGAGCCCTGGGAGTAGCGCATGCGGTCAAAGAAGACCTCTAGCACGCAGGATACGGGTATCATCCCCAGCTTGGCGATCTGCATGGGGACGAAGTGAGGGAGAACAAGGGGGTACTGAGACGGCCGGAAAACATGGAGCGTGGAGAGGAGAGAGCCTTGGGAGTAGCGTGTGCGGTCAAAGAAGACCTCGAGCACACAAGACACAGGAGTCATCCCCAGCTTGGCGATGTGGGGCGAGGCACAGAAACCCATTAAAAGCACCCTCAATACAAGCACACAAACCTGATAGAATCCGACGCTGTTCCACATCAGGCTGACGTTCATCCCCACGATGGACACGTTGGCAGTCAGCGCGAATTTCACCTGCTCCATCAGCGGCAGCTGCGAAGGTTCCAGGTACCCGCTCAGACGCAACGCTGACGTCATCAGCGACGTCATGATGAAGTGGAGGCCGGTGAGCGTGGCGGCTGCGGAAGAAAGAAGAAAGGGTTGGGAAATTTGAGCGTGGAAGAAAAGGGGGGGGAGGGGGAGGGTGGGAAGGGAAGAGGGGGGAGGAAATTGTCAACTCTAAAGGGAGGAAAAATCGAAATATTTGAGAGATACTTGTGACACGACATTCGCAAGTGACCTTACGCAGGAAAATGGAAGCGAGAACAAGTGTTGCAATATGCGGGAGGCGTTAGCGGGAAATGAGATCGGAAACTGAGGGAAGGTGAGGACATGCTTTAGGGTAGAACGCGAACGTGTTTTGAGAAGTTTCAAAACACGCCTGCAACAGGGAACTTGAGGAACTTGAGGAGGAAGAGTTTCAAGATGGAATGCGAGCGAGGGATAGAGATTGCTGAGTACGACGATAACAAAAAAAAAAAAAAAAAAAAAAAAAAAAAAACACGCACATTAAATTCGTTGATCGAGCCAGCGTAACGACGCGACAGCAATGCGTAGTCACGAAGAGTCATGAAGCAAGAAGGATCGGTGCAATACAACCGTGCACCTGCGTGTTAAGAATCACGCTTTGAGACGTCTCAAAAGTGTCCAGCTAGATGGATCGGTGCAATACAACTGCGTATACGCGTTACAAGCGTCTCGTTCGCTCCCGTGAGGCCAAAAGCGTGCATGGTTAGAGGATCGCACCGAATTGGAAGTTGTAATGTGTCATGAGGTACTTGTTGACCACGATGATACCGACAGATGTAACGACATTGAACACCCACGAAAGAACGTCCGTTACGAGCTTCTGATGCCGCGAAACTGCCGGGGCCTCCATGACCGGAAAATCTGGACCGAAATTGGACGAAAGCGAGAGATCGTTGCAATGCAGGACGAATACGGGAAAATGCTGACTACTTCTTCAACGCAATTATTCTACCATGTACCCAGGACTAAGTATCGTATTATTTCTTCGAATCTCGAAAAGCCGTACAATTGGGATTGATGCCAGACAGGCACGTGTCGCGCAGGATTAGTGGGTAAGTTATCCCGACTAGTCCTAAAAAGGACAGCGGAGTCGCCTAACGACTCGTGGCTCTAGTTAGCCCTAGTCTCCTAAGGCAGGAGCTTCCTCGGTTCTAAAAATAGGGACAATACCGAGGCAAGCTCGCCAACTGACCAAACACAGTCTAGTGACTCTTGTTTTGAACCAAGAGATTGGATGCATTGGATCCCGAGAGCCTTGGAAATGGATCTGTGAGCAAGACCAGTGTGTCACGAGGGCGCGATTATATGAACCAGAGGTTCTGGTTTCCGAAAGGCAAGGTGACGCGTTCCGTGTACCATGGCGTACATAAACATAAACTGAAAGGTACGTTGTCGTTCGACCCCTTTGTTTACCAGCTTGAAACATAAACTGAAAGGGACCTGAAACGAAAAACACACGAAATCGCCTCACAAAAGGATATGAACACGCTTGCCATACACTTGATTTGATTCAGTAACATTAGTAACATTCCTGCGTGGTACACTCGATCCTCACTCTGTCGCCTCTAACCTTCAATACGTATAACCCGCACAAGACATCTATACCTTAGAGGCCTGAATAAGCATAGGCTCTATATGCTATGCAGTCTAAGATTGGGGTTCAACTGAAATAACCAGTGCTAATCACGCCTAGCTTTAATCTGCACATAAAACATAAATTCGGTTTATCTGCATATGGAATGTGTATCAACTATTATTACGGTAAGCTGTATGTGTGCAAAGTCCAGTTTGTATGTTATAATTAGAGACAATTAGTGAATTTAACTACCATATGCTACAGATATCCAGAGAGTGCATTATGGCGAAATGCTGGCATTGCCAGGAGCGTACGATCTGCCCACACAATCGTTCACCGCAACTCACGCTGCGTACGAGTTCACCAACAACCCTTGCACTCATCCTACGTGGCAGCGCCACCTCCCATCGGATTCCCCAGAAATTGTACGATGCTCTTCGTACACATCCGCGCCGCGGGGGCTACGGAAATTTGTGCAATCGCGGTTCGTGCTGGTTTGGATTTGCTTCGCCTTCATCATCATCTTCAGATGTCAGCCTGAATCGAATTTGAAGGTATAAAATTACAGGCAAATCTGAGTAACAACCATCCAGCAGAACTAAGCAAACAGCCAAATCGTACAGCCGTCTCATCCTGCCCCTGCTTCTGGTGGATCTCTGAACGGGACCATGGCTTCAGTCTCCGCTCTCTCATCCAGCATTCAGGTATGTTCAGCCAGGGTTCACTGTCACAATGTTCAGACTCCAAGTTTTTAACAATCTCTCATAGCAGTTTCTGTTGATTTGACACCCTCCCTTATCTCAGGTCTCTTCCGTCAACACCTTTGCTGGGAAAAGGCTCAGCGTCGCCCAATCCAGCAGCCGCACCGTCAAGCTCTCTGCAAAACGCGCTGCAGTGTCTGTGAAGGCCAGCAGCGAGAGCACATCCTCTGATGATGTCAGCCGCCGGGAAGTCCTCAAGGCAGCTCTCGTTCTCGGCGCTGCTGTGCCCGCGTCTGCCGCTGGTTTCCTCTCCTTCGCCCCTGCCAGGTACCACACTCGTCACCACACGTTAATATACAAGTTTCACATTAAAAAGCTCCTCCATTATTTTTTGCTGCTTACTTACACGTGTAACGTTTATACATGTGTTTGCAGCTCGGCGGACGAGCTAGTGGCGAAGGATCTGAGCGGCAAGGTGGTGATGGCGGATAACTGGCTTGCCACGCACAAGGGTGGCGACAGGACGCTCGTCCAGGGCCTCGATGTAAGCTGCAGATCTCGTGCAGGACACTTGTATATTCTCCATCTACAAGTAGCAAGGTTCTTCATTGCTTTTCCCTTAGGTTCCCATCTGACATGCTTTCATGTGTCATATTTTTTCCCCCTTTCTCCAATCTTATCCACTCCAGGATGAGCCGGCTTTCTCCAATCTTATCCACTCGGCAACTTTGTAATCAACTCCATCTGACTCGTTCTGTCTCTCCTTCTCCCTCTCTATCTCTCTTTCTCTATTTCTCTCCCCCTCTTCCTCTCCTGCAGGACGAGCCGGCTTACATCGTGGTGAATAACGACGGCACACTCGGTAACTTTGCCATCACTGCAATCTGACATGCTTTTGTGTGAAGCCTTATTCCTCTCTTGATTTCTCTCCCTCTCTCCCCTCCCTCCCTCTCTCCACTCTGCTGTACCCCAGGACGAGCCGGCTTACATCGTGGTGAATGACGATGGCTCGCTCGGCAACTTTGCCATCAACGCCATCTGCACGCACATGGGGTGTGTGGTGCCGTGGGTGGCGGAGGAGAACAAGTTCATGTGCCCCTGCCATGGCTCCCAGTACAACAACCAGGGCATGGTCGTGCAGGGCCCGGCTCCTCTGGTGCGTTTATCCTTGTTATTAAGCTTTGTTCTGTTTGAGAATGAAGGATATATTGGCATAGTGGTTCTAATAATCCTTTCTGTTTGTCTTCATCCTCTTCGTTTCCCTTTCTCGTTACACATGGTACGATGGATGATACTTCTCGTTTCTCTGTCCCTTTCTTCGTTCTCTTTCCCTCGCCTTTTCTTTCTTCCATGTGGTCAAGGTGGTTTCTCCATATAGACTGAACCAATGCTCCCTTTTCTTGTCTTCTTTTTCCTAGCATGCCAACAAGTGGTGGGAGGCAACATGCCTTTTCCACGTGGACTGGTCCACTGCCTTTCTTCTCTCCCCTTCCCCTCTCCTCCCGCCGGCCTCTCTTTCCCCTTAGTCGTTCTCACCCCCCTCCCACTCAGTCTCCTGCTCTCGAGCATGCCAATGTGGTGTACTGCAAGGTTGTATTTTCCACGTGGATAACTCAATGCCTCCTCTTCTGTTCTCCATTCGTCCCTCATTCGTTCTCACCCCCCTCCCACTCAGTCTCTGGCCCTCGAGCATACCAACGTGGTGGGCGGCAAGGTTGTCTTTTCCACGTGGACTGAGACGGACTTCCGGACTGGCGAGGAGCCCTGGTGGATGGAGGACTAAATTACAGTTACATGGTTACCATACCATGGCACACAATTGATGATGTATCATGCATACAGCTGTGCTATAATGTGAACCATCGTGCATTGTACATCAGATGTTTTTTCCAAGGAGTGAAACTTTTCCTCAACCAGCCAAGTGAAAGGCACCTACAAATGGCAAGAAACTACGTACATCAGTAGTAGTATCTGCAACATTACGGGCCTTGGTTCAAATCTCTCTTGGTGAACAGTGCAATAAATAGTGCATTCGTGTTGGAAGTGGGAGGGTCGAATCTGAGGGTGTGTGGTATACCACCAGGTCTGCAGGGCCAGCCCTTAGCCTCCTCGACTTGTATCAAATCTGTGGAACAAGGTTTGGTAGAAAAAGGGAGAATTCTGAAAATAGACGCATAGAACCATGGTTGGAGTGATGGCAAGAAGGTTGCACAGGCAATGGCTAACAGCGATATTTGAAAGGTCTCATAATGGGAGCAACGTGCTTTCCAAAATCAATAACAAGTATGGAAATTACAGTAAGACACGAAGGGATGTGCAATGATGGGAGGTACATGACACAGCAAGTGCAAACACAACGAGAGGAGAAAGAATCAACATGAACGAAGGCGATGGTGGGAGCAGTGGGATGGTGGTAAGAGGGTGATGTATATTGCACTGATGATAGCTGAACAAAGATAGCAGACAGCTACACGTTAAGAGATAAAGAATCAACATGAACGAAGACGAAGGTGGGAGCAGTGGGATGGTGGGAGAAGGAAGGTGCATGGTGCACCGATGATAGCTGCACATCATAAGCAAGCGGCTTCACATTACGATGGGGAACAAGGAATCATGGCGGAAGGGCGATGGATGGTGGGAGCACTGACCTGCATCATGCGAGTGTCTGTCCAGAAACCGTCTCACCACGTCCTCGTTTTGTGTGACCGTGAGGCTGGGAGGTGGGGAAAGTCAGAGAGGGGGAAAGGGAGGACAGGAACGAAAAGGAGTATTTAGTTCGAATCAAAGACGTGCAAAACAAAGAGGGGGAAAAGGGAGGCAACGTCTCACAACGTCTTCGTTTTGTGAGTGTGTGCGGTTGGGAGGTGGGGAGTTGCAGAGAGAGGAAAGAGAGGACAGGGAAGGTATAACATAGTATTTGGTTCAAGTCGAGGCAAGCATAACAGGAGTGGCTGTCTAGAAACCATCTCACAACAACCTCCTGCAACTTTTGAGACGTCTCAAAAGTCGTATACTTTTGAGACGTCTCAGAAACCATCTCACAACGGCGTCCTGTACGCCAAGTTAAGAAGCCTCCCTCGTTAATTTAGTTATATAAGTGAATCATCAATGTACATATACATATTCTTGTACAGTACAGTCTCACCTGCACGTCGAGTACACCAGCCTCCCTCGTGGTTTCGACTATAAGACTAGACAAATATATATGCATATATACATATAAACATATATACATATATACATATATACATATATACATATATACATATATACATATATACATATATATATATATACATATATACATATACATGTACTTGTACATTTCAGTCTCTCACCTGCATGTAGAGTACACCAGCCTCCCGCCAGGCTTCAACAGCAAGAAGCCTGTCTCTAGAAGAGATCGCTGCAGCAAGGGAAGAGAGAGGGTGAAGAGCAGGGAGAGGGAAGAGAAAGGGAAGCGGGTGAGCAAGAGAGGCACATAGCAATCCGGTGGATTCAGTCAGGTGAGATATGTGCACATATCTTACCTGCAGTGAGATATGCCGGTGGATTGAGATGAAATATGTGCAATCCTGCACATATCTCACCTGCAGTGCTGCAAGCAATTTGAGCACCTGGGGGTCAGTCAGGTACCTGGAGGAACCGCTTGTTCAGAGTGTGCCGTTCCCACGAGTCGTACTTGAGAATGTGCTTTAGTCAAATGAATGCCGACTGTGGATTGCAGCCGAATGGATACTGCTCACCGGTGAAAAGAAGGCTGATATGTGCGGACATGCTCTCACCTGCAGTGCTGCGAGCGAGTTGACCCGCTGGGGGTCCAGGAATCGCTTGTTGAGGGTGTGCCATCCCCACGAGTCGTACTTGAGTATGTGCTTTGGTGGGGAGATGGTGATGGTTACCGCATTGCAAAGCGGACATGCTCTCACCTGCAACGCCGCCAGGGAGTTGAGTCTTTGGGGATCTAGAAACCGCTTGTTGAGAGTGTGCCATCCCCACGAGTCATACTTGAGTATGTGCTTCAGCGAGCCGTCGTGTGTGCACTCTGCGTCTACCAGCACCTGGTGTGTGACAGTGGAGAGGTGTGACACAAAAGAATTGTGATTATCCTCTCAACAGGCTTGCTTCAGTGAGCCGTCGTGCGTGCACAGTGCATTTACCAGCACCTGACGAGTGACAGTGGAGAGGTGTGACAGGTGTGTGTGCCACAAAAGAAACTGTGATTATCCTCAACAGCCTTGCTTCAGAGAGCCGTCGTGTGTGCACTCTGCGTCTACCAGCACCTGATGTGTGACGTAAGGGAGGCGTGACACAAAAGAGGTTTGACACAAAAGAGGTTTGACACAAAAGAGGTTTGACACAATAGAGGTTTGACACAAAAGAGGTTTGACACAAAAGAGGTTTGACACAATAGAGGTTTGACACAAAAGAGGTTTGACACAATAGAGGTTTGACACAAAAGAGGTTTGACACAATAGAGGTTTGACACAATAGAGGTTTGACACAAAAGAGGTTTGACACAATAGAGGTTTGACACAATAGAGGTTTGACACAAAAGATGTTTGACACAATAGAGGTTTGACACAATAGAGGTTTGACACAAAAGAGGTTTGACACAATAGAGGTTTGACACAAAAGAGGTTTGACACAATAGAGGTTTGACACAATAGAGGTTTGACATGAAAGAGACGTAATATTCTCAAGAAAATGCTTCAGAAAGCCGTCGACGTTAGCAGCTGATGTGGTGGTCGACGTTTGACACAAGAGGTTTCAGGGCCCTTTGATTTTCTGCTTCCTCAGGTTTCAGGGCCCTTTGATTTTCTGCTTCCTCAGGTTTCAGGGTCCTTCAATTTTCTCCTTCCTCACCTTATCATACCCATCCTTGCCGCATTCAACACCCGTGTCCCACCATTGCCACGCTGTCCGCCCAACAAAGAAGAGCTCCGGCCGGTCCCCTCTCTTCCATTCAGATGCTGCCGCTGCCCCGTCTGCTTCTGATGCCGGCGATGCTGTCATCGTGGTTGTAGCAGCAGCACCAGCTGTAGCAGCAGCAGTCGCATCATGACCATCATCAGCTGCAGCAGCTACACTGTCGTGACAAGCTGATTCAAACATGCGGAGATGCTTTGCTCTCCTCCTCTCCTTCCTCGTCCGCTTTCTCCTCCTCACTCCCTCTCCCTCTTGCTGCTCTCCTTCCCTCTCCTCTCTCTCCTCTCCCTCCTCCCTCTCCTCTCCCTCCTCTTTCTCTTCTCCCTCCGCTCCCTCCTCTCCATCCTGCCCCTCTCTTCCTGCCTGCTTCCACAGCCCTGCAGTCTCCTCCACGTCCCTTGGCTCTGAAATCCCTTCACTACTACTACCACCAACAATCACTGCGCTATTACCCATCACTTCCCTTACGTCCATCACTGCTCTAGCCTCTCCCATAGCAACGCGTGGCAATAATTGCTCCAGCTCAGTGCCACGAGGCTTAGCTGATCCAACTTCTAGCCCTGATCCCACTTCCATCCCTCGCTTTGCCACAGGAGGCCCAAGGCGGAAAGCAGTAGCGTCTCCTAGGAACAGCCGGCACCTGTCAGTCAGCCGGTGCTTCTGCAGCAGCGTGCGACAGGCAGCCAGGCGGGCCGGGGAGACGTCAACTGCTGTCACTGTGCCTGTTACTGTGCTTGTGCCTGTTGCAGTGGGTGCGCCGGGTGAACTGCCTGATACTGTGGTGCTCATGGCTGCTGCTTTTGCCGTTCCACTTGGATTCTCAAGAGATGCCTCATCTGCTGTTGCGTTGTGAGAATTCTCAAAAGTGTCTTGTGCTGCTGCCGTCACAGAGGGTTGTGGTGGTAATGAGGATTGTGGTGGTAATGACGATTGTGCCGGTAATGAGGAGGATTGTAGCGGGGATTGTGTCACCGCCTGTGGTGAAGCTGGCAGTGCTGCAGCCTCGGAGGCACTGAGCTCATCCAGGATCAAGCACAGCTTGGCGCCTGAAAGGGGCCAGGCATGCAGCAAGCAAAAAATAACAGAGACAGGGTATGTTTTTTGAGAATTCTCAAAAAACATACTGTGGTGAAGCTGGCAGTGCTGCAGCCTAGGAGGCCCTGAGCTCATCCAGGATCAAGCACAGCTTGGCGCCTGAAAGGAGCCATGCATGCAGCAAGCAAAAATCAACAGTGCCAGACAGGCAGGGAGTGGGGAGAAGGAAGGAGAGAGTCGAGACATAGGACGGTTTTAGACATAGGTGGGGTTCAGCAAGGATGATGGGAAGGAGGCATCTCCCATGCGTCCCATGCGTCCCATGCGTCTCTTCGTTCACCTAGGTGGTGTGCGCTTGAGAGAGATCTAGCCAAGGGAAGGCGGGTTTGAGCTCATCTAGAATCACGCAGAGCTTGGCGCCTGCCTAGTGCATAGCACCCAGCAAGCAAGAACCCGCACCCTCAGACAGGGGAGAGAGAGAGGGGAGATAGACAGAAATAAGGGGCAGAGGGCGTTTCATTCTTGGGTGGTATTAGAAAGCATCTCCTAAGAAGACGAGGATTTGAGGAGGGGGTTTCATTCTAGGAAGACGAGGATTTGAGGAGAACAAAGGGAAGGTGTCTCTAATGCACGCATTTGGGAGGAGTTAGAGAACTAACAAAGAAGCATCACTTAATGAGAATTACTCAAAAGTGAATACGAGCGGAAGGAAGGGATGCAAGTACTGGATGATGAAGGTCACAAGAAAGAGAAACAAAACATAACACAACGAAACAAAACTGAATAGAAATCTCACCCGGGGCAGCACAGAGGTCAAGGACGTGATCTGAAGGGGACAGCTGCAGCGCTGCCACTGCCGCCCCTGATGCTGCATCCATGCCGAATATCTGGAGGAGGGATAGTGAAAACTGAAGTGAGGCAGAGGAAACAGGGTCCGAGTTTGTTTGAGAGTACTTTTGAGTCGACTCAAAAGTCACCTCGCATACTCCCAACTTCATTGCAGAGACATGACAAAGTTACTGCATATTGTGACTTTCTTTAATGTTTTCTCACTACCATATCTCCTTTGATATATTTTCACAACCTATCTCCATAACTTCCATTCCATCTCTTCCCTGTGCCAATTAAGAACCCGGCTGCTGGTCCCACCTCCAAAAATTTTACCTTTTTTATTAATGTTTCTTGTTAACATATCAAAAACAGCTAAGTCATGTAACATGAAAAACTCACACTTTTTTTCCGATTGCTGCAGAAACACATGAATTCTCGCCCGTGCCTTCCTTCCTGTACGCCAGGGTGTCTGGAATATTGAAATCTCCAAAGAAATAGCAACACTGCTGCTGGAAGAATCTCAAGAAAGCACTGCACCTGAATTCTCACCTGGCCTCTCTTATACGCGCTGGTGCCTGAAATGTTGAATTCTCCTGGGAGAGAGAAGAATCCCTTCAGCCATGGTACTGCCACCATGCCTGCTGCTGGTATTCCTCCTCTCCCCAGCAGCAGCCCTGAAATCTCCTCCTTCACTTCTTCCACCTCTGCTTCACTCAGCCCCCCTCGCAGCCTGGCAGAAGGGGGAGGGAGAGGAAGGAAGAGAAGAAGCGAGTTTGGTTGCGGCTGCTGCTCTCCTCAGCAGCCCCACAGCAGCGGCAATCGGGGTTCCTCCTCTCCCCAGCAGCAGCCCTGAAATCTCCTCCTTCACTTCTTCCACCTCTGCTTCACTCAGCCCCCCTCGGAGCCTGGCAAAACGGAAGAAAGGGAGGAAGGAGATTAAAGAGGAGCGGCCTAAACAGGAGCGGTAGGAATTCCGCGTCTCCTCAGCAGCCCTGCAAGCTCGCTCTTCACTTCTTCCACCTCTGCTTCACTCAGCCCCCCTCGCAGCCTGGCAGGAAAGGAAGGGAGGCAGGAAATCACACACGAGAAGAAGCAGAGGCGGTTAGGGTTCCTCCTTTCCTCAACAGCCCTGCAATCTCCCCCCTCCTTCACCTCGTCCGCCTCTGCTTCACTCAGCTCCCCCCCTCGCAGCCTGGCAGAATGGGAGGGAGGGAGCAAATGAAAGACGAGAAAAAGGTTCGGTTGGGGTTCCTGTCCTCCTCAGCAGCCATGCAGCAACCTCCTCCTTCACCTCGTCCACCTCTGCTTCACTCAGCTCCCCCCCTCGCAGCCTGGCAGGGGGGGAGGGAGGGAGAAGATGGGTTTCCTCCTCTCCTCAGCAGCCATGCAACAACCTCCTCCTTCACCTCGTCCACCTCTGCTTCACTCAGCTCCCCCCCTCGCAGCCTGGCAGGGGGGGAGGGAGGGAGAAGATGGGTTTCCTCCTCTCCTCAGCAGCCATGCAACAACCTCCTCCTTCACCTCGTCCACCTCTGCTTCACTCAGCCCCCCTCGCAGCCTGGCAGGGGGGGAGGGAGGGAGAAGATGGGTTTCCTCCTCTCCTCAGCAGCCATGCAACAACCTCCTCCTTCACCTCGTCCACCTCTGCTTGAATGAGCTACCCACTTGCCTGATGTATCTGGGCAGGTCGGCGTGGCGGCTGTAGATGCTCGGATCGACTTTGAGGCGCCTCAAAAGCAGTTACGGGTAAAGTGACGACTTTAGACGGGCCTAAAACTTATGCTTGCCTGATGTATCTGGGGAGGTCGGCGTGGCGGCTGTAGATGCTCGGATCGACTTTGAGGCGCCTCAAAAGCAGTTACGGGTAAAGTGACGACTTTAGACGGGCCTAAAACTTATGCTTGCCTGATGTATCTGGGGAGGTCGGCGTGGCGGCTGTAGATGCTCGGGTCGATCCCATTCTCCTCCAGAAACTTTAGAAACTCGCTGGGAAATGAATTCGGCTGCTGGTCCTGATCCTGTTCCTCTCCCTGCTGTTGATGGTCCATTCTGTTATCTTGATTTAGCTCGCCGTTAGCCTGATCTCCAAGTGTCTCGCTTTGAACAGTCACATTTGCGATTGTCCCGTCCTCACTGACCATTGCGGCTTCGCGCGCAGCGATTTGCGCGCGAGGGCGCAGTCTTAGGATCGTAAACACCTTAGTCGGCAATAGTCTACTTGCTATTGCTTATCGTGTTCTCCACGATCTCACGAATCCAATGATATGCGCAGCTCTGCTTGAAGTTGTCAATACACACTTCAGCAATTTTCAGAATCTCCAAGTTGTGTTTTCCAGAATGAGTACAAGCAGTTTTATAGTCAAGCAAGTCACAAAATGCGATTCGTAACTTCACTTGTTTCCCAAGTAACCCCGTGCGCCTCGTTTCACCCCGAGTCGCACACGGAACCGAACTGAATGCACCGAACACTCCTCAAGTCCGAATCTGGAACCTTCTCGAACACGCCTCGAGCTCGTACCACAGTTCCCCCGTCGATCTCATTCTCGATACTTCTCTACTCTTCTCCTCCATTTCTCTAGTATCTTCCCGATCTCTCTCCCGCTTCTCACGCCGTAGCTTCCAATATCCACCGTAGGCCGATTTCCACCGTTTCACCTAGAATCATCCACGTGCTTCCATTTCGCCGTCATTCCGCCGTCGTAGAAGCTTTCGCCGTAGGTTCCGTGGTTGGGCGAACCAACCCTAACAATCTCCCCTGTGGTTCGTCAACCACGAACACCACTCGCACTGCTTTCCTGCTCCTTGTAGCATTCACAGGGTCTAAGTCGGCTTCACGCTCCCCTGCAGCTCCTGCACCTTGAACCTCTGCTTACGTGTCTTGAAGTTGAGCGCCTTGATATCCAAACCATGAGGCATCTTCTTAAGCCTCTCGCTTCTCCTCGGAATCTTAGCACCCAACACCTCTCGGGTCTTGTACCCCTCAACGTGTTCCTCTTTCATAAGCACTCGCCCCTTTGCAGTTGCATTCGCCGTTGATCCCTTCACCATGATGCCCCCTTTCACAGCTTCAACTCCCACACACTTCGCATTTACTGCTTCATCTTTAACCACGACCGCTGCTGCAAAAGTGTTGACACCATCTCCATCTCCATCATTCACCGCTGCTGCCTCCATGGTGACTATCTCTTCTTCCTGCTTCACTGCTGCCTCCACACTCGCTCCCGTATCATCCGTGTCCTCGCTCTCATCAACCTCAGTAGACTCAGGATCCTCATAGATCTCATCCTTGTCGTTCATCGCTATCAAGTTCATCTCATAGAACGTGTCACTGAAGTATCCATCGGCATACTTCTCCCACTCAGGACCAAACACTGTAACCTCGCCTTTGTCATAAAATATCTTGCACCCCAAGTCATCAAGCTGTGACTGACTCATCAAATTCACCTTCAAATCCTCAACCAAGAGCACATTCTCCAGTTTCACCTCTCCATACGGACTTTGCAGCACCACGTCACCCTCTCCTGTCACTGGTAACTTCCCACTGTTACCTTGCAGTATATAACGCTCACTCGACTCCCTCACGTTCTCCATCCAATCTGACCTGAATGTCATGTGACGCATGCATCCGCTGTCCATGAACCATGCCGTCTTCTCACGTCCGTCCGTCTGACGAACATCCTTCGGTAAACGCACCACGTTCGCACGATGCGCTCCTCCCAAAATCACATCCTCCTTTTCGGCTTCCGCTACATTCGCCTTACCCGCCACAATCCTCTGCTGCGACGGACCCTTGTAGCTCCTGCTGTTCGGATTGGAGTAGCACTCTGCGGCACGATGCCCATAGCGCCCACAATAATCGCACTTGCCGCCAAAACCTCGTTTCTGTTGCCACTCTGCTCCCCCATTTTCTCCTTTCTCGTTCTCCACCGCTTTGCCCTTGTAGTTTCTGCTTCGCGGATTTTCGTAGCAGTTTATCGCCGTATGCCCCCTCTTTCCACACTGGTAGCACGCTCCAAACGCCTTCGTTGCATTCACCAAAGCCGGCCTTTCCTCGTCGAAATCCGTAGCTGCTGCTGCCGCTTTCTTTTTCCTCATCTCCTTGACCGTCTCAAGCGACTGTAGAATCTCCTGCAGCTTCGTCAAACTCTCCGGCGGTTGGTACGTAAACATACCGATATCAGATTCCCACTCCTTAGGAAGGCCTTGGATGATATAGTCGATCATCTCGTGCTCCGTCTCCGCGGCTCCCATCACCCGCAAGTCGTCGTTGTAGTTTTTCGCCCTGTTGATGTAGGTGATGATTTTCTCGCCTTTCTCCATGCTCAGCATCAGCAGTTGCTTCCTAATCGCCTTCTTGTTGACATCGTTCGTGCCCATGTACGTGGACTCCAGGTACTCCCACGCTTTCTGTGCAGAGTTCAGCTCCCCTGCAAACTGGTCCAAATCCACCGCGATTCCATCGGCAACTGAGTGACAAAGCTGAAAGAACGCTTGCTTACTTAGCTTTTTAAACGCCGCTATTTTCTCCTTCGTATCCGTCGGGGATGGCGCAACTCCCTCCATCGTCTCCTCGTCGGGACGGTAGTACGGCAAGAGGTCCACCTCCTCTGCCCTTCGAATGAACTTCTTTCGCCACACGTTGTAGTTGCTCCCGTTGAAGCGCTGGGCTTCACTGAGCCCGATCGTCGGTTTCGCCACCAATCGGCCACTCGCAAGGGCCTCGAGAAGAGCCTTCAACTGCGGGTCTCCAAGACTTACACTGGAACCCGAACTCGCCTCGTCTCCCATAGCGTAGGCGTGAACGACTCCTCTTCTCCACTAATTTCACTTAGCGCACCAAGTGAATTCACCGCGATCGACGCGCCCGTTCGCCAAGCTCTGATACCAGTTCTTAGGATCGTAAACGCCTTAGTCGGCAATAGTCTACTTGCTATTGCTTATCGTGTTCTCCACGATCTCACGAATCCAATGATATGCGCAGCTCTGCTTGAAGTTGTCAATACACACTTCAGCAATTTTCAGAATCTCCAAGTTGTGTTTTCCAGAATGAGTACAAGTAGTTTTATAGTCAAGCAAGTCACAAAATGCGATTCGTAACTTCACTTGTTTCCCAAGTAACCCCGTGCGCCTCGTTTCACCCCGAGTCGCACACGGAACCGAACTGAATGCACCGAACACTCCTCAAGTCCGAATCTGGAACCTTCTCGAACACGCCTCGAGCTCGTACCACAGTTTCCCCCGTCGATCTCATTCTCGATACTTCTCTACTCTTCTCCTCCATTTCTCTAGTATCTTCCCGATCTCTCTCCCGCTTCTCACGCCGTAGCTTCCAATATCCACCGTAGGCCGATTTTCACCGTTTCACCTAGAATCATCCACGTGCTTCCATTTCGCCGTCATTCCGCCATCGTAGAAGCTTTCGCCGTAGGTTCCGTGGTTGGGCGAACCAACCCTAACACGCAGGAGTCCCGGCGTAGGGGAGTGCGGAAGCTGTGGGGATTGGCGCGCAGCGGAATGCAGAGCAGGTGGAGAAATTGCGGACCAGCGGAGCGAGCAGCGAAGCGAGCGCGAAGGAGGAAACTGACGCGAGCGACTGGGAAGGAGTTGCGCGTGACGGAAGGCGATGGTATGCGACAGAGTGCGACAGAATGCGAAGCTGAAAGCTGCGCGAGAGGAGGGGAGGAGGGACACGCGCGAAGGGCGGAGGAGAGGAGAGGCCATGCGACGACTAAGTGAGACACCTCGAGAAATGCTTCTACTAATGACTTCTGCTACGTGTTTACGATACGAAGGCCATACACGCGGAATACGGCGCATAAGGAGTCAGCGAAGGGTGAGGGAAGCAGGGAGAGTGGAGGCAGAGCAACGGGTTGAGAGATGATCAAGCAATGACATACGCGTTAGCATTTTTCGGTAACATTGGTAAAAGGCGACAGAAGCATGGCCTGCAACATAGAAGGGCAGCTTGTATACCGTACAATGAACTTTCCAAAAAATGATTTAATAAGTGTTTCTCCGCAATAAGAAACTCCTGCTCCTACACCTTTAGAGGCCAAGTGGTTTGCTGTCAGACAGTATAGCAGCCACTGCTTGATCTTCAGCAGCTTCAGCTTCATGTTTCTCAGCATTCTGTGTAAAATCCTGCTTTTTGCTTTGCACAACCACCTTCATGAATCCACACCATACATTGTACATTGAACATCCACCTAAACCCTAACTCATCCTTTCAGGGCTTGAAGGTGGTTTGCTGCCAGAGGTTGATGATATCAGTGGCCTGGTTGAGGAGAATGATCACCCGCTTGCGCGACAGCCACGGCTTGCTCTCCAGCAGCTCCCTAAGCTCCTCCCACGCGTCCTTGCGCGGCCAGAACATGTACGAGCTGACTGGAACGGTGCCCTGCCCGGGAATCATCTGGTCCACAGCAATCCCAATGTTCTTCTCTGAAAATCGTAAAAATGAAGTGGAAAACGAGAGGAAAGTGAGCATTGATGGAAATGGAGGAAATTCATGCTGTTCTTCTTGGCCATCCTAGTGCTGGTCTTTGGGAGGGCGGAAGCACAAGGGGAAGGAAGCAAGAAATTAACGAGCAGGGAATAGGAATAAGGGGAAAGAAAAAAGGATCACAAGGGTGGCGTGGAGAAAGAGCTTCACAAGACAGAGCTGTGAGTGATGAGAAGCAGCGGTGAGACCACTGGGAATGGGGCCCCAAGAACAATTTCCACCATAGAAAAATGGGAGATGAGATTCATGAGTAAACAAAAACGTCTCGTGGTCAGCAGGGTAACAGTCAGCAATGATTTGCAGACACTAGCAGGATCGCCCAACCACCACACACATAAGCGCCTGGCTGCCTGTACTTCGACCCACGCCGACGATTACAGCTATGTCCGCATATACGCATACGGCCGATAGGAACGCCCAGCGAAAAAGTACCGACATTCGCATTCGCAGATTCGTTAAAGACGAATCTGAGGAGACTTTTTGTGTAGCCTTCGCAGTACTGAGGAGACTTCAAGCCATGCAGGCATCCGCATCAGCGTGACCTTTTGTGTAGCCATGGTACTGCGTCCTCGTCCCAAATAAAGCACAGCTCTCCTTGTGCTAGTAATCTCCAACTGATAACGAAATGAAGGAGCTGACGAATCTCAATGGGAGTCTGGCTTTCTCGGATGAATCCCACAATCCGATGCAATGCAACGTTCTGGTCCATCGTTTGAGCCGACTCAAAATCGCCTAGACTTCGCATCACTTGAAGCAACCACGTGCGCCGTTGATCAATAAAAGAGCTTGGCTTCGTGAACGTCGCAAGCCCGAGATCGTGCATGAGTCGTCCCCATTGCGAACGTCACACCGAACGAGCTACTGGAGAGCAACCACAGAGCAGCTCGCAGGTTATCCGTAATGTAATATTACCAACGGATAATTCACGTTGTAGGATTACCTTTACCTTTTCAAATTCTAGCTTCAGCTCGCCGCGATAACGAGTCTGGCGGCGAGATCGGAGCGCGACAGGACGGGATAAACAGCTTACACCGGCTGAAAACATCGGCACCGGTTCTTGCGCGTCAGGAAAGGAAAGGGCAGTGTGGGAAGAATGAAACCACCAAGATGCAGCTGCAGTGCTAACAATGTAAACCCGGAACCCTAGTTCTCTCATCCGCCTGTTCCTGGCTTCTCTTCCGACTATCACGGAATATCGATAACCCTAAGTGACCCTTTGGCCTAGAGGCCCCGGAGCGTGAAATGCGGACGCACCGAGCCAGACGAATTTAAGGAGCAGCCGTTGCTTGCCCTCCTTGACGGACAGCACCTTCACCTTCTTAGGCTCCTCCGCCGCCGCCTCGCTCCCCGCCTCCGCCACCGCTGCGCGCGGGGCGACGACGCGCTCCGCCCGCGCAGGGAATGCGCGCACCGCGGGGAGGGCTTGCGCGGAGAAGGAAGGTGTGCGGAGGGAAACGCGCGCGGAGCACGCTGCAGCGCGGGCGGCAGGCGCCGTTGTGTAGGCTGCGGGGAACGCTACTTGAGATGTGACAGCTGCCATGGCTGCCTATTTCTCAGGGTACTGAGAATGAAAAGACTGGTCACTTAGCTAGGTCAACGCTAGGTGACACGCGATGTAATAGTGTGGGAAGTGGGGGAGGATAGGGAAGTAGAATTGGGCTCTACTAAGAGCGTATTCCTATCCTCGTATCAAGAAAACCTCATATCAACTTCCCACTGAAAATTCCCCTAAACCCGAAACCTCTCGCTACTTTTACCAGGCAAAAAGTACAGTCTTGATATGAGGTTTTCTTGATACGAGGATAGGAATACGCTCTAAGTGTAAGAAGCGATTGTGGGTTCCGATACGTTTCAAAAGGTTGCAAAACGGTGACGCGCGCTACAGAGTGGTAATTATCAGCAGCCTGAGGAAAAGTTCTGTTATTGAGAAGGGACATAGGGTCTGGCTCAGAGGGATGACGTGTCAGAAAAGTGATTGGCGGTGAGTCATCCAAAACTGGACCCGAGGTGATGACGTGCTGCCATTTGGCGCTGAAAGGTCGTTTTGTGAGTGTCCCGTTTGTGACATTGAGCTTGTTCAAATCGTATGAGATATATGCGTATATATATGTGCATGTCCCAGCCCAGCGTTCACTCACCATCACTTGATTGGCTAGTTAATCATCCTTAAAACAGGTAATAGCACTTCTAGACGGAATGAGTACCTAAATCCTGTTGTAATGAAATGTGTTGAAACTGTCTCATCATCTCACGCTGAAGTTTTGCATGAATGAACCTCAAATATCCACATTAAAATTCAACCAACCACCATCTAAGCACTAAGTATTTTTTGTGCTCATGACTTACTTTCCAACCATCATCCAGCTACCGTACCCTCACTTCTTTTATGTCTAGGGTTTCGGGTCTAGGAATGATCCACTTCTTGCTTTTTCATGAACCACTTCCCCCATGCCTCCATTTCATCAACCCCACATCTCCACACACACCCCCACGCCTCCTCCCCCTCCTCCACCTCCCCAGGCACTTCCAGCATCTTCACTGCCTTCCCCACTCCCATCCGCACCAACTCTCTCTCATACACCCTCTCATCCTCCCCAGGAATCTCAATCCTAACCTCCTTCACTTGACCACCCCCCACACTCCTCCCACCTCCACCCCCTAGCGCTCGCCCCATTTCAGACAAATTCTCAAGCAGTTCATACTCGGGACTTAAACCCACACCCACGCCCACCCCGGTCACCCCCATAGGGTCCCTAAACCCCGGAATCGGGTCCCTTAAGCCCTCAGCAAGCCGGAAATCATCCAGCGAATCTAGACCGGTCTGACGCAGGATCAACGATTGCAACGGTCCAGATTTATCGCACCAAAGGCAGAAGAATCCGGCAGATATCAACTCAGCCCCAGCAGGCGACACGAGCCTGAGAGACAGCACCAGCGAATCCCGTTCCAATCGGAACAGGTCCGGGAACATCCGAGCCTCATTCGCAGCGTAGAAAAGGTCCACAGCCGCTTGGGTAAGATGCAGGGAGTAGGCCGTGTCAATAATGGCGTTGGCAACGGCACGGGAGGATTCAATGGGGCAGGGCGGGAGGGTGAGGAAGGAGCGGAATTCGGCGAGAATGCGCGGTGGGACGTGCATGAATGCGGGGTCTGCGTTGCTGTCGATGTCGTCCACGAGCTCGTCCAGGTCAGCATCTTCCTTGCTGGAGGTTTTCTTGTCTGCCACGTCAGCAGTGCTAGGATCCACGTCAGCGGTGTCTGAATCCACGTCAGCACGTGGCCGTCTAGCGGAACTGCTGCTGCTGGTATCCCCCTCATTCCCATCGCTACCCTCATTGCCACTGCCACTGCCATTGCTACCCTCCCATTCCACAGAGGCCAGCAACACCCATTCTCCCTCTCCCTCACTCCCCGACCCCTCCACCCCTCCTGCTTGCTCCGCCCCGAAATACACCCTTTCCCCCTCCTTCTCCCTCCCCACCTGTTTCGGCCTCCTCACGCCTCCAAACCCCTTCTTTTCCTTCTCAAACCCCTTCTTATCACTCTCAAACCCTCTCCCTCCAAACCCCTTACTAACCTGCCCCTGCCCTTCCCCCCCCGCTCTCCTCCCCTTCCCTCCCCTCACTCCACTCCCCTTCCCTCCTCCTCTCCCTCCCCCACCCCGTCCCCTTCCCCCTCCCCCTCGCCCTCCCCCTCTCCCTCCCCTCCCTCCCCCCTCCTCCCTCACAACAGGAGACTCCCCTTCCTCCTGATTCGCCTTAGCCCACGCAGAAACCAGAAACCCGGACACCAGCGGCGGGGCCCCGCACCGCACAGCCTGCGACATGAGCAGCAGCAGCAGCACCGACAGATTCTGCTTCGTCCTCCCCTCCACCACCGGAATCAGCCTCGCCAGCCGGAAAAACCCGATCACGAGAGGGAAAAAGGCCGGGTCGGCCCTCCGCAGCACACTCCCTCCCTGAATCCCTCTGTAGGAATCTCCTCCCCTAATATCCCTGTTTCGATTGTCCTCTTCCATGTACTCGTTATAGAGGTACTCGTCTAGGCGCTCGTTGACTATGAACTGCGCAGTGTGCATGGCTTCGTCGAAATTCCCGCGGTCGATTTGGATGGAGAGGAGGGAGGAGAGGAGGAGGAGGTCGCTGGAGTACGTGTAGGGAAGGGCCTTATCAGCATGCTGATCACTCTTACCACTCTGATCACTCTCATCGTTCTTATCGCTAGAATGGATGTCGGAGGACCATCGAAAGGAGAACGGTTGCTGCTGCTGCTGCTGCTCCTGTTCTTCCAGCAGCAGCGCTGCATCTGTCGCTGTCCCGGTCACCGCACTGAACTCCTCGCCGAGGCCTTCATACCGCAGCACCGGCCGTGCAGGATAGAGCATACTCATGCTGATACCCAAACCCACACCCATATCCATCTGAAACCCAAAAGGCCCCAACAGCCCTTCTATTTTCTCCAATCTCTCCTCTTCCCCTGCTGCTGCCAGCACGTGTAAACCCATGTCCCAGAACACAGCTAGGTCAACGGCGCGTGCATGGGTGAAGTAGATCCGAAGGACTTGGTAGCATTCTGTCTCTTTGCCGGCGGTGGCGAGAGAGTGCGCGAGGGCGAGGAGGGCGGAGGAGTAGGGGGTGATGCTGAGGGAGAGGGCTTTGGAGAGGGTGGTGAGGGCTTGCTGCCATTGGCCGAGAGACGATTGACCTGATGGGATGGGCAGGCGAGAAAAATGAAGGAGGAAAGGAAACAAGCTTACATCTTTCCCTCAAGGAAGAGAGAGAGGTTCTGATTACATCAAAAGCACCTGAAAGCTGAAGGCTTGAAACCTTGTAACATCGTGACTCACAATGGATAACATCACTGTAGCACTTGACAGATGGCACAATCCCATTGGCCAGCAGTCCCTCCAGCACCCTCACGGCCTGCCCTGCCAGCAGCCCCTCACGACACAGCCTCACCACCCTCTCCGCCATCTCCATACTGGGGCTCCTCGGCCCCTGCTGACCCTCCCTCTCCTCCTCCTCCTCGTCCTTTTGCTGCTTCTGTCCCTTCTTCTGCTTCTGCTTCTGCTGTCCCTCCTTCTGCTTCTGCTGTCCCTCCTTCTGCTGCTGCTTCTCCTCCTGCTTCTGCCGCTGCTGCTGCTTCTCCTCCTGCTGTTGCCCCTGCTGCTGCTGCAGCAGCTGCTGCTGCTTCAGCTTCTGCTGCTGTCCCTCCTTCTGCTGCTGCTGCTTCCCCTCTCCTGGTCGCTCTTGCTGCAGCCTCATCACCCACTCCGCCCCCTCCATGCCCACGCTCCGCGGCTCCTGCTGCCCCTGCTCCTGCTGGTCTTCCTGCTGTTGTTGCTTCAGCTTCTCTTGCTCCTGCTGCCCCAGCTCCTGCTGGTCTTCCTGCTGTTGTTGCTTCAGCTTCTCTTGCTCCTGCTGCCCCAGCTCCTGCTGGTCTTCCTGCTGTTGTTGCTTCAGCTTCTCTTGCTCCTGCTGCCCCAGCTCCTGCTGGTCTTCCTGCTGTTGTTGCTTCAGCTTCTCTTGCTCCTGCTGCCCCAGCTCCTGCTGGTCTTCCTGCTGTTGTTGCTTCAGCTTCTCTTGCTCCTGCTGCCCCTGCTCCTGCTGGCCTTCTTGCTGTTGTTTCTGCTTCAAGTCCAGCAGCTGCGGTTGCTCCAGCCCCTGCTGTTGCTGCTGTTGCTCCTGCTGTTGATTTTCCTGATTTGGCTCTTGTTTCTGCTGCTGTCCCGTCTCTGTCATCTCCATGATGAGGTTTTGTCGTCTCTCTTGTTCTTGCCCTTTCTGTTGCTCTTGCTCTTGCTCTTGCGCTTGCTCTTTCACTTGCTCTTTCTGCTGCTGTTGTTCTTGCTGCTTCTCTTTCTGTTGCTGTTGCTCTTGCCCTTCCTGCTGCTGATATCGCAGCACCTCCCCCTCCTGCTCCTGCTCCTGCTCCTCCCCCTCCTCCCTTTTCACAAGCATCTCCCCTTGCTCACCAAATCTTTCCACAGCCTTAAGAATCGCATCAACCACGCCCCCTCCCTCCCCTTCCTCTCCCTCCCACTCCTCCCCATCCTCCCCCCCACCGCCTCCACTTCCCTCCCGGCCAACCCCGTCGCGCCACGTGTCAACCACGCTGAGGTACACCCTGGCAGCGCCACGTGGCGAGTTGGCAGCCTCACACGCTGCCAGCATGGCACCCAGGCTGTTGCGATTGGGCAGCACGCGCTGAGACGCCATGAGTGCCAGCACTGCAAATATGTGCTCTGGATGGGCGTCTTGTAGCGCCTGAGAGACGTGGGGATGGGTGGGGAAGGATGGGGAGGTGGCATGGGGAAGGGGTGAGGGGCGTGGGGAAGGGTGGGGAGAGGGGTAACCAGCACTCGTGTTGATGCCATGAGTGCTAGCACTGCAACATGTGCTCTGGATGGGCGTCTTGTAATGCCTGAGGGAATGAGGAGGGGAGGGGGGGGGAGGAGAAAGCATGAGGGGGGAGTGAAGGGGAGGTTCAAACGACATGAATTCATTCTTTACAAGCCATGCTGTTGCAATTGGGCAGCGCGCGCGGTGATGCCATGAGGGCAAGCACTGCGAACATGTGCTCTGGATGGGCGTCTTGTAAGGCCTGAGGGGAATGGGGAGGGGGTGACGGGCATGGGAAAGGGTAGGAAACGTGGAGGGGCATGGGAAGGGTGGGGAAGGGAGTGGGATCACCAGCACGCGTTGCGATGCCATGAGGGCGAGCACTGCAAACATGTGCTCTGGATGGGCGTCTTGGAGGGCCTGAGAGAATGAGGAGGGGAGGGGAGGGGAAAGCATGCGAGGGGACGGAACGGGAGGCTTGATGAAAAGTGATCCATTCCCCATAGCCCGGTCTGTTGCGGCTGGGCAGCACGCGCTGTGATGCCATGAGGGCGAGCACTGCAAACATGTGCTCTGGATGGGCACCTTGTAAGGCCAACAGAGCCTTCATAGTTCCCCATCTTGAGGCACCTTATAACGAGTATGCCATGCCCGGGTGCACACTCTTCAGCTCCTCCAACACCAGCAGTGCCTCCCCAATCAGCAGAATTCACTGGTCCCATCTTGAAGCACCTCATAGCGAGTACATCATCATAATCGTCTCACCAGCAAGAGAGTGTTGTAAGCCGACAAATTGCCATGCCCCGGGTGCACCCTCTTCAGCTCCTCCAACACCAGCAGCGTCTCCCCTCCTCCCCCCAGGCAGTTTTCACTGCTCCCATCTCGATGCACCTTGTAACGAGTGCACACCTTTATAACGAGTACACCACTCACCAGCAAGAGAGTATTGTAAGCGGACAAATTGCCATGCCCGGGGTGTACCCTCTTCAGCTCCTCCAACACCAGTAGCGCCTCCCCCAGTCGTCCCCCCCTCCCGAGCACGTCTATCAGCATGCGGTACACTGGGGGGGAGAATGAGAGGCCCTGTGCTCGTGCTGCTGCCACCAGGCCTTTCACCTGGGGTGGAGAGAGAGAACAAACAAGGGATGAATGAAAGAGATATTTTCAGTAAGAACAGCACGTAAGAGGGATGAATGCCTTCCACAGCCTTTCATCTCCCTCTCCTCCCCACCAATCAGCCCCAGCATGTCTATGAGCATGCGGTAGACTGGTGGGGAGAATGAGAGCCCTTGTGCGCGTGCTGCTGCCACCAGGCCTTTCACCTGAAAATGAGGAATGGTAATATTGGGGCGAATGGAAAGGAGTGTTGCAGTGAGAAGTGAGAACACCATAGCGCCTCCCCCAGTCGCCCCCCCATCCCGAGAACGTCAATCAGCTTGCGGTACACCGGGGGAGAGAATGAGAGGCCCTGCCAGCCCCACTACCTGCAGGAAAGCAGCGTAGGAGGGTATGGAGAGGCGCAGAGCTGCTTGCACGCACCACATGCATACTGCGTACACTACTGCAAAAGCTGCTGCCTGCCATGCCCTCACTCACCTCTACAATGCGTATCATACATTGACCTCATGGAGAGGCGGTAGGCTGTTGGCACGGCATGTACCATATACGCATACACACAATGAGAACACACCTGGTTGAAATGGCCAGCCAGCCCCAGTGCCTGCATGACAGCAGCACAGGAGCGCATGGAGAGGCGGAGGGCGCCAAGCACATGGAACCACATGCAGTGTATGCGTGTGTGTACTCTATGTTGCGTATACAACAGCACTATACGAACCTGGTCGAAGTGCCCTGCCAACCCCAGTGCCTGCATGACAGCAGCACAGGAGCGCATGGAGAGGCGGAGGGCGCCAAGCACATGGAACCACATGCAGTGTATGTGTGTGTGTACTCTATGTTGCGTATACAACAGCACTATACGAACCTGGTCGAAGTGCCCTGCCAACCCCAGTGCCTGCATGACAGCAGCACAGGAGCGCATGGAGAGGCGGAGGGCTCCAAGCACATGGAACCACATGCAGTGTATGCGTGTGTGTACTCTATGTTGCGTATACAACAGCACTATACGAACCTGGTCGAAGTGCCCTGCCAACCCCAGCGCCTGCATGACAGCAGCACAGGAGCGCATGGAGAGGCGGAGCCCTGCCCCCTCCACCTCCATCAGCACCCACGGGGTGCAGCCCTATATTGGGATTACTACGAATGCGTACACACTGTGGAAAGGAAACACACCTGGTCGAAATGACCCGCCAAACCTAGCGCCTGCATGACAGCAGCATAGGAGCGCATGGAGAGGCGGAGCCCTGCTCCCTCCACCTCCATCACCACCCGTGCCACATCCGCCATCGCTGCTGCCTGCCGTGCCCTCACCGCTTCTTCCTCTTCCTCCTCCTCCGCCTCCTCTCCCCCCCACTCCCCTCCCTCCTGCTCGTCCTCCAAATCCCCTTCCACGTATCCATCTCCCTCCTTGTCTGCTACTTCTTCTTCCTCCCCCTCAGACTGGGCTTGAGGTTTCCTAGCTTCCCCTTGCGAAGGGGAAGGAGTAGCAGCATCAGAATTGGAATCCGCAGCAGTATCAGTAGCAACAGTGCCGGCTCTGCTTCTGCTTTTGTTTCTGCCTCGCCTTCTTGGATTGCGGGCGCAGCGACGAGCATATACCTCCAGGAGAGTGTTGTACGACTCCTGATGATGGGGTGTCGTGGGATGAGGTGTGATGGAGTGCAAATGAGTGTGATGCGGTGTGATGGGGTATGGGGGATGCGATTCGAGGTTTGCGGGTTGAGGGGCTATGTGGAGGAAGGGCACAGCAATGGACGTGCACCTCTACAATAATCGTGTAGGACTTTTGAGGTTGATTGGGGAGGTAGGGGAGGTAAACATAGCAATAGGGTGGCTCAAATGATGATTCATAAGCAGGGGTTTATGTTAGACTCAAAACTTGGATATCTGGTTTCGGTAAGCTGTCTTTTTCCAGCACGATACAGTACCGTATGTCTTTTGTCTGTAGTACTGCCATTCATTTCTGTTTTGAATTGCGAGTTATGACACCCATGTCCGAACAAGCTACCGTAAGCACGGCTATCGACCAGTACTGGTCTAGGAACACATAAAAGTTGGAACTCATGCCGTGCTTACGGTAGCTTGTTCTGACATGGGTGTCATAACTCGCAATTCAAAACAGAAATGAATGGCATAGGGTACTGTATCGTGCTGGAAAAAAAACAACTTACCGAAACTAGATATCCAAGTTTTGAGTCTAACATAATCACCCCTGCTTATGAATCATCACTTGAGCCACCCTATTGCCATGTTTACCTCCCCTCCCCCCCCAATCAACCAATGCACCTCAAAAGTCGTCTACTAGAGTCTTGTAAGACTCCTGGCGATGGGGAATGCGTGGATTGGGGGAGGAGATTTTTTGTTTGAGTTTTAAAGATTTGGGAGTAAGTAATGCACTTTTGTCAAATCAGTGCGGTTAATATGGCTAGAGCCAGATATAAAGTTTAAGTAACGCTCTTATTGTCACCACACAATATGTTGTCTAATAAAACACTTAGACATAATACCAAACAAATAGACAATAAAAAAATGTATATATTTGTAAATATATATCTTACCAAACATAAGGTAGGTAAACCTAAAACAATCAACACATGCCACAACAGAACTCACCAATCGCAGCGTGCCATCTGGCGACAGCACTCTGAGTCGATTCACCACCATCTCCATCTGCTCCATCCTGCCGGCCCTCCCATACGCCATCATCAGCGCATTGCACACCGCCATGCTGTCCCGCACTGTCGCCCCCACCCCAATCCCCAGCTCTTCAACAGCAGCGGCAGAGACAGAGGCAGGCTCAGCAGCAATATCGGCACCCAGATTAACATTGGCGTTGCTTCTGCTTGTCTGCTCTTCCATCTCGGCTACTAAAGCGTCCACCTCGCCCCACATGCCCGCCCGTGCATACCCCATGATCAGTTGCGCATACGACTCGCCGCTGTGAGGGATCGCCATCTGCGGTGTGGTGGGGTGTGGTGCGGTGCGGTGGGGTGGGGTGGGGTGGGGTGGGACAGGTTGCAGGGGGGTAAGTTAGGGTAAGAATGGGAGAGATGCATAGTAGAGGGAGGAAACATGCATGCATATGACTAATTGGTATAAGGTATTGCCAAGTGGGGACCCAGTTTCTCCATACAGAAATCAGACTCTCCTTCTGATAACAGATGAGTTTTGAGACGTCTCAAAACACAACTGTTATCACGTTGCGTTTTTCCATACAAGAATCAGACTCTCCTTCTTTGCAGATCCCACCCTCCTCACCACCAACACCCCACCTTCCTTCCTCACCACCAACACCCCACCTTCCGCATAAGGGAGGCCACACGTTTCATCTCGAGCCCCAGCCCTCGCTTGCCCAGCGCCGCCAGCAGCAGCGCGCACATGTCCGCGTCTATCAGCGCCCGTGTGGCCCTCGCCCACTACCAAGACCCCACCTTCCCCACTACCAATAGCACTCTCCCCAACCTTCCCCATAATAAGGACCAGAGTCACACGTTTCCCACCTTTTACCACTCCTCCACTTCCTGCTACCAAGAGCCCCCACTTTCCCACCTTGCGCATGAGTGATGCCACTCGTTTCATCTCGAGCCCCAGCCCGCGCTTGCCCAGCGCCGCCAGCAGCAGCGTGCACATGTCCGCGTCTATCAGCGCCCGTGTGGCCCTCGCCCACTACCAAGACCCCACCTTCCCCACTACCAAGACCCCACCTTCCCCACTACCAAGAGCACTCTCCCCAACCTTCCCCATAATAAGGACCAGAGTCACACGTTTCCCACCTTTTACCACTCCTCCACTTCCTGCTACCAAGAGGCCCCACTTTCCCACCTTGCGCATGAGTGATGCCACTCGTTTCATCTCGAGCCCCAGCCCGCGCTTGCCCAGCGCCGCCAGCAACAGCGTGCACATGTCCGCGTCTATCAGCGCCCGCGTAGCCCTCGTCCCTCTCATCAGCTCGAATAACTCCAATGCATCGCGGGTGATGCCTGGTGGGAACGAGAGAATGGGAAAAGAGGGGTCAGTGCTATTCGCCGCCAGGTCTGCACCCGTCTACCAGCACCCGTCTGCCCCTTGTCCCGCGCATCAGCTCAAACAGCTCTGGAGCATCGCGGGTGATGCCTGGTTGGAACGAGAGATGGGTTATAGCTTATATAAAAGAGTGAGGAAATACATGGGATAAAACGGGATCGGCACAGCACACACAGGTCCGCGTCTATCAGCGCCCAGGTGGCCCTCGTCCCGCGCATCAACTCAAAGAACTCGAGTGCATCGCGGGTGATGCCTGGTTGGAAGGAGGCACAGGGTACAATGGGAAAATGGGGTCAGTGCCACACACGTCCGCATCTATCAGCGCACGGGCGGCCCTCGTCCTGCGCATCAACTCAAACAGCTCCAATGCATCGCGAGTGATGCCTGGTTGGAAGAGGCAAGGGGTACGACGGGAAAATGGGGTCAGTGCCCCACGGATCCGCGTTTATCAGCGCCCGAGTGCCTCTCATCCCACGCATCAACTCAAACAACTCCAATGCGTCCCGGGTGATGCCTGGTTGAGGGAGGAGAGCGGGAATACATGGAAGAGAGAGGGACTATTTGGAAGAGGGGGGCGGGGCGGCACACACACGTCTGCGTCTATCAGCGCCCGAGTGCCCCTCGTCCCGCGCATCATCTCAAACAACTCCAATGCATCGCGGCGGGTGATGCCTGATGAGGGAACAAAAGATGGAGAACGGGGAAAGGGGGGGTCTGTGATATACGCCAGGTCTGCACCCGTCTATCAGCGCCCGCGTGCCCCTTTGAGTTTTGAGGCGCCTCAATTCTCAGGTCTGCACCCGTCTATAAGCGCTAGCATGCCCCTCGTCCCGCGCATTAACACAAACAACTAAAACGTGTCGCAAGTCACGTGCGGTTATAAAATAACCAGGGGATCCAAGACAGTGAGAAAGAAAGTACGACAGTGAGGGTCTGCTCTAAAAAACTCCACGTTTATGAGCGATGGACAGACAGCCCTCCTCGCCTCGCCTGCGTCTATCAGCATAAACAGCTCAAGTGCAAACAAGCTGATTTAAACTATAGTGAGCTCCAAAAAAATGTCGAGCAGATGTCATTGTTTTCCACGTCATGGTTTTTCACATATCATCAACCTAAATCGTGAATTGCCCTACCTATGAAACGGAAAGAAGAAGAAGAAGAAGAAAAAGTCGTCGTGAATTGACGGATCGTGATGGCATTCGAACTCGTCGTGAATACGGCCGAAAAATGGGCACTTTTTTGCATGACGATCTTAAGAATTTCAAGAAAATACTTCCAAAAAAATCATGGATATGGTCGAAAGAGCGACATTATTTTGCACCCCTTTTTTTTATTATGTGTATATATATAAATATACACACACACATACACACGCGCACGCACGCACGCACGCACGCACGCGCGCGCGCGCGCACACACACACACACACACCCACACACACACACACACACACACACACACACACTCACACACACACACACACACAAACATATATATATATATACATATATCGTGGACATGGCCGAGAGAGGGACAAAGGATGAGGACAAACCAATTTTGTCATCGAGAAGAGTGTGAGCATACCGAGAGCAGAGAGTGTGAGCATGCAGGCGCGGAAGAGCTGTCTATCGGGCATGAGTCCCGCGTCCATCATGCAAGTGAGGTAGAACACGGCCTTACTGGGGTTGCGCTCACGACACAGGCCGAGGATGAGCATGCGGAAGGTGAGCTGGTAGGATAGGGGTGGGTGTGATGGGGAAAGAGATTGGGAGTGGGAAGTGTAGGTATAGGAATCTGGACAGTCAACAGGGCATTGCTGGGATTGCGCTCACGACACAGGCCGAGGATGAGCATGCGGAAGGTGAGCTGATAGGATAGGGGTGGGTGTGTGAAGCATAGGATGGAAGGCCTTGCTGAGCTTTTGCTTGTGATTGAGGCCAAAGATAAGCATTTGGAAGGTGAGTTGATTAGATAAGGGTTGGGAGAGACGCTTCAATGGAATGGAGGGAATGGATGGAAAGGGCGGATCAAGACTCAAGAGGGCATTCCGATGGTTGGGCACCGCACGCTCACAGGGCATGAAAGAATGAAGCATGCCCTCCCACCCACTCACCTCGCAATGGTTGACCATCTGTAAGGTACTCTCCCTCCGCCACCCCTCCCTCGTCAACCCCAGAATCTCATCCATGAGTCTCATCGCCTCTGCCACGCCCGCCTCCCCCCCCTGCCTCCCCGTCCTCCCCCAACTCACCTCGCTCGGTTTGACCATCTGTAAGGTACTCTCCCTCCTCCACCCCTCCCCCTTCACTTCCAGAATCTCATTCATGATCCTCATCGCCTCGGCCACTCCCGCCTCCTTGCCTTGCCCCAGCAGGGCCTTCATGACTGCATGCACGTCCTCCAGGCGCGGAACCAAGTTTCTGCGCGGCATCCTCTCGCGCAGCACGCGAGGAGCTCGCTTCAGCTCCCCCTCTTGCAGCATTGCACGGATCAGCAAGGAGAAAGTGAGCTGTGAGGTTCATGGCAGTAGGGGGTTCAGAGAAGAAGAAAGAAAGAAACGATTATTCTGATGCCTCCACCCTGCTATAGCCACGCTTTCATGATGACTGCATGCGCGTCTGCCAGGTGAGGAACCAGGCTTTTTAGATCCCTGAGAGCATCAGTGGGCTGACGAAGCTTCTAGAGCTCGGCATCCAGTCATTCTGGAATGAGCGGGAACTTCCCGAGTCCATTACGGGTCTCAGGTGCCTGGAGAGCTTGCGCATCGTGGATTGTGAGAGCCTCACTCAGATGCCCAGGGATTTGGAGAGTCTTGAGAGGCTCAATTACCTAGAGGTGAGATTGTGTCAGGTGCTGCTGCACACTCTATCACTGCTGCCACCTTCGCTTGAGCGTGTATTTGTTGAGAATGTGTATTCGTTTCGCTCAACAAATACACGCTCAGGAGACGCTGGCAGCAGTGATGGAGTGTGCAACAGCACTGGACACAATCTCACCTCTAGGTAATTGAGCCTCTCAAGACTCTCCAAATCCCTGGGCATCTGAGTGAGGCTCTCACAATCCACGATGTGCAAGCTCTCCAGGCGCCTGAGACCCGTAATGGACTCGGGAAGTTCCCGCTCATTCCAGAATGACTGGATGCCGAGCTCTAGAAGCTTCGTCAGCCCACTGATGCTCTCAGGGATCTCAGATAACCCGCACATGAACCAGACCAAACAACAACTATACCACTCACCTCCCCCTCCCATTCTCACCGGAGTGGGTTTCAGTTTGCCGCCCATCGCAAACATCTCCTCCACCAGCGCGTTGCATCCCTCCAGGCCCGCCCGCCCGCCCTCCTTCAAGCACCCCTTCATCACCAGGTGGCATAACGCCAAAGAAGGCCGCCCTTCCCCTGCCTTCCTCGGCCCTTTGTCCGCCCACTTAAAACCCCGTTCGGAACCCCCCTTTCCCCCACCTTTCCCCCACTCTGTGCCGCCTCCCTTCCAATTCCCCTTGCTTTGCCCTTTGCTCTGCCCCTTGCCCTGCCCCTTGCTCTGCCCCTTGCTCTGCCCAGTGCTCTGCCCCTGGCCCTGCTCTTTCCTCATTTTGGAAAACACAGCAAGTGCTCGCAAGCCCTTGCCGGTGCCAACCAGAGCGCCAATGAGTTGGCAGTAGACACGGTGGGGAATGGGGATGAGGGGAGGATGGATTTTCTCCCACTGTTCCTGCTGCTGCTTTAACTGCTGCCCCTGCTGCCCCTGCTGCCCATTCTGCCCCTTCTGCCCCTTCTCCTGCTGCTCCTGCGTCTCTCGCACTGTCCCCATGACCATCGCTTCAGCCTCCTCCACCCGCCCCAAGCGAAGCAGCATCGTTACAACAGCACCGTACGCATTCGACGTTGGCCCGAACAGCACCCCCTCTTGGGTATTTTCAGGTGCCCCCAAAACCGCCCCAATTACCACTCCTCCTTGAATTTCTTCTGGCACCCCATCCTCTCCCCCACTCGCCGTCCTCCTCTCGATTCCCTCTCCCCCCCGTTGCATCCCTCTTTCGAGGCTTCTCGCTTCTCTCGCTCTCTCCTCCTCCACAATCTTTCTCCGTTGATCCGTACTCATCCCCTCCCACTCCCTCTCCCTCCTCTCCTCCATCCATCTCAGCAGCGCCAGCGCTTTCTCACTCTCCTCCGCAATCGCCAGCTCATACAGCACCTGCGACACCTCGGCACTGCCCAGTGACACGTCATCACTGGCCGGATCCACCTCAGCACGACCAACCTCACCGCCTTCCCCCTGCGACACACCGCCGAGCCAGCTCATCAGCTTCGGCAGATCCCGAACCTCCTTGAGCCCTTCAATAGCCCCCAGCAGCAGCGCTACCTGCCCCAAATCCACCACTCTCAACTCCTCCACATCTAGACTCCCTCCTGCTCCTAAACCATTCCCTCCTCCTTCCACCTTCCCCACTTTGTCTCCTCCATATTCCATCTTCACCGCTTTCAACTCCTCGCTCGTCTCACTCTCACCTTCGCTCGTCTCTCCCCCTTCTCCCATCCGTCGCTTGCCTTCGCCCATCTCTCCCTCCTGTCCCTCCCTGCGCCCCTCACCCAACACTCCCTCACCCCCATCACCATCCCCCTCTCTCCTCTCTCCCACCCCATCCTCCCACACGCCCTCTTCTCCGCCCTGCCCCATCGCCCCTTGCCTCCCCTCCCCTTGCCTCTCCATTGCCTCTTTCAACTGAGCGGATTTTGGAGGCGTCTCAAGAACCACCTTGCCTTGCCGCTCCAACGCCTCCTTAAGCTGAGCTGCCAGCAGCATCACTCGCCTCGCCCTCCTCCTCTCCCTCTTCCTCTCCCCCCTCTGCTTCTCTTCCAATCTCCTCTGCTCCTCCTCCTTGCTCTCCCTCTCAGCCCTCTCCGCCTCTTCTCTCACCTTTCCACTCTCTTTCATTCGTTCAGGAGCCTCAGAAGTCTCTCGTCTCTCTCTCGTCCGTTCAGGCGCTCTCTCTTTTGGATCCGTTCCCCTCGTCCTCATCCCTTCATCCACATCAGAACGCCCCCCTGCTGCGTCCACCTTTCCTTCCTCCACTCCAATCCGCCCCTCATTACCCTTTTCTATCGCAATCCACCCCGCATTATCCTCTTCCTCACTCTCTTCTGCCTCTGTCAACACAATCCCCTCAACCCTCTCCTCCTCTCCCATTCTCCTTTCCACCACTCCCAACGCAGACTCAACCCCTGGCCTCCCTCTCTGCCCGCTTTCCCCCTCCCCCTCACCCCTCACTTCCTCGCTCGAATCCCACCCAGCCGCCGTTTCCCCCTCGTCTCCCCCTGCCTCGTTATACCCCTTATAGTCTGCCTCGTTGCTAGCACCTTGCACATCCAAGGGCTCGTCTTTGATGCCAGGGCTTGGTGCTTTTCTCTCTGCCTTTGCCACACCAGGAGGAAGAGGAGGAGAGGAGGAAGGAGACATAGGAGGAGAGGGAGGAGAGGGAGGAGGAGGAGGAGGAGGAGGAGGAGAGGAGGAAGTAGAAGGAGGAGGAGAGGGAGGAGGAGGAGGAGTAGGAGGAGAACGGGAAGGAGAAGGAGGAGGGGAGGCAGAAGGAGGAGAGGGGGGAAGAGGAGGCGAGGGAATGGGCTGTGAAATGGAAGGAGGAGGCGTGGCTTCGCGAGATTCTGTACTGCTAGAAGGAAGGGGAGATGAAATGGTCGATTCAGGTGGTTTGGCAGGTTCAAGGGATTGGGCAGGTGATTTATCAGGTTCAGGCGATCCGGCAAGTTCAGGTGATTTTGCAGGTTCAGATGGCAGGGCAGATTCAGGTGGCTTGGCTGCTTCAGGTGATTTAGCTGGTTCAGGTGACTTGGCAGGTTCAGGTGTTTTGGCTGGTTCAGGTGTTTTGGCAGGTTCAGGTGACTTGGCAGACTTGGATGAAATGGGTGGGTCAATGGTGGCTTCGAGCGGTTTGGAGGGGTTGGGAGAGGTGACTGACTGGAACCATTGAACAGCATCAGCGAGGCCACGTGCCACCTCTCCCCCAAACCCAAACAACCCCTTCCCACCACCGCTGCTGCTGCCACCACCGCTGCTTCCTCTGCTGCCACTGCTACTGCCACCGCTGCTGCTGCTGTCACTGCTACTACTGCTGCTGCCACTCCTGGTCACCTCCATGCCCATGTCTCTCTGCTCACTGCGGCCTTCAGCAGCCTTCTTGCTAGCGGAGTCGAGATAAGCTGCAAGCTCTGCCTCAACCTCTGCCACATCAACTTCTTTAGAAGAACCATCTCTCCTCTCAATCACCATGACCCCCTTCCCCTCCTCTCCCCTTCCGATACCCCCATCTTTCCCTCTCCCAGAGCTCTTGAAAAGTTTTAACAGTTCGCCTAGCTTCTCCCCGTTTCTCTCACCCCCGCTCTCACCATCCCTCCCACTCTCACTGCTGCCGCTTTTCCCGCCCTCACTCATCCCTATCTGCCGCTTGGCTAAGCCTTTCACAAACACATGCACGAACATCTCAGCATCACTAGGCACCCTCATCCCTCCCTTCCCATCCGGGATCCCTGGCATGGGCAGACCCAAAAACCAGAGTGCTGCAAGGCTATCCATATCTGAAACGCCATCCATCCCCTTACTCTTCTCCCACATCTCCTCCTCCTCTCTGCTCATCCCGATACCCCCGCTTCCTCCACTTCCCCTGGCCACCTCGCCTGTTCTAGCCACAGACTCAAAATTCCTCCTGCGTGGGTCGGCGGCTTGTGCTCTAGACGCCACCCCCCTGGGAACTCCCTGAAGGGAACCCACCCGTTTCCCTCCCCCCTTTCGGTTTCCACTGCTCTTTTTCCCTGCTGCCTTGCCTGCGGCCTTTCCCGCTGCTGTCGCTCCAAAACCTTTTGGCTTGGAGTCACCTCTACTGCTGCTGACGGTGCCATCGTCGTCTTCGTCGCTGCTGCTGTCGCCATCGTCAGTGGGGTTACCACTGTTGGTGTTACTTCCATCCTCCGGTTCTGCAACAGGAAGGGAGTGGGGAAGGGAGTGGGGAAGGCAGAACGCAAAAGGGTCTCTGACTTGACCAGTAGGTAGGTAGGTCAGGGAACGGCCAGAAGGGCCGAAAAAGGCCGCTATCTCTGGGAACATTAATCGGAGAAAAGTTCTCTTAAAGTGAAATTACGAGTGATACAACATGAGTTAACCAACTTCGAATCCAATGAAATCAATATGAACTAAGGGCGCGTAACCATTTTGGTTTTGACGGTTCGTTATTCGGACGGTCCGTTCGAAATAGTGGTAACGTTTGTCGCCAATGCTCGCAGATGTTTCGCTAATCACCCTGCGACGTCGCCGTCGCAACATAACCGCATGGAACTTTTTCCGCAAAACGGAGGGAACCCGTCACTTGGACGGTTACGGTTCGTCAGCAACGAATTGATCAAATATGGCGACTTGTTCGTTTCTAAACGTAGCTTCAAGAAAATCCAAAATGGTTACGCGCCCTAAGTCTATTTCAAGTCAGTGAGTGTACCAACTAGGCTTGGCTGAACCTGATAAATCAGCCACTTCCAGAGACCCAGGATTGCAGTCAAAACCGAGCCTAGAGGCTCGGACCTTACCAGGGTCTGGAGGCCTGGGCCAGAGCGAGAAACGAGGACGGTCGGGGGGAGGATCGGGCGGGGAAGAGGGTCCCGGCGGAGTGCTGCGTCCTGCCGCCGTCCTTGTGCTAAACGACCGACCCACACCACCTCTAAAGCTCTCGTGCGATGGTCTTTGAGTCGGCCCAGAAGCAGGATGGGGAGGCGAAGAGGGTCCCGGCGGAGTGCTGCGTCCTACCGCCGTCCTTGTGCTAAACGACCGACCCACACCACCTCTAAAGCTCTCGTGCGATGGTCTTTGAGTCGGCCCAGAAGCAGGATGGGGAGGCGAAGAGGGTCCCGGCGGAGTGCTGCGTCCTACCGCCGTCCTCGTGCTAGACGACCGACCCACAGCACCCCTAGGTTCATGAGCGAAAACCCCCCGTCGCGGGGCCAGGGACGGTGCCCGCACGTGAACTCCGCATGCGCCAAATGCTCCGCCGAATGCGCGCGGAGAACATTGCGGTCGGAAACCGCGGTTATTATCAAGCCGAACCGCCTGATTGCAACTCAACGTGCGGTTAGAGGTGCGAACTACACATAGAGCCGTTGAGGTGCAGAGTAGAGGCGTCGAGGAACGACGCGGACGGAAACGAATTGACGACGCCGCTGAAGAGCCGTGCGCTGCAGCCAATCCAACTGAGCCACGTGGCGCTGACGTGACATTCGGACGATTGATGGTAGAGGCAAGCGGCTTGGCCATGGGTCTCATGCACGCTGAGCATACCACGTGTCTTCGAACCTGTGATACCACGTGGAATGCTTCTATTGGCGAGCGGTTGCGGGATTCACGACGTCATTAAGACCCAGTACAACAACCGGGACCCCTAGCCATTGCGACGCTATTATCGCGTCCGACGCGAGCACTCCATAGCAAGCACGGCACTGTAATCTTCTTATGCCGTCAAGAATCTAGAAATACTCTTTTGCTGAGACTCAGCAGCTTCTGAATTGCGTGGCCTAGACGACATATGCAAGGGGAGTGTGAAACAAGGCAGAGCGGCAGTTGCATAACGGAACAACTGACGGAATGCGATGGTGGAAGAAACGGACGGGGCGGGAATCGGAAAGTTCAATGTCAGAGGCAACTTCAAGAGGAGATGAAGAGACCGACCGTAATCGGATTCAGCACATCGAAACGAACAGAACCGATATCTTTATACATAAAGCCGAGCTGCACCAGAAAACAGAGGCACAAAATGAATGGTCAGGCTGAACAAGCTTCGCAGCTGACATTCATGACATTACCAAGCGACCGCTAGAAGGAATTACGGTTTCCCGTATCAGCATATAGACTGTTGCTGATAAACATTGTAGAATTAGAATTAGACACGCTACAGACACTAACCCTCTGGCCGCCTGTCGCAGCTGCCTCCTTAAAGCCCAAGACCTGAATTACTCAACGGAAGTCAACGCTAAAAACTAGGTTCGGGAGGCAGGCACGGAGAGGTTCGGTTGGGTTGCGAGAGACTTTCACTCGCGAAACCAATTTGCGACAAAAGTTTCTCGCTTCCCATGATGGGTGGGGTCCAGGGCTGACTTTATCAGACTAAAATAGTCTGATTGTCTGAAATCTCAGGGTATTTTCCTACGGATCCTGATTTTTCAGACTTGTAAGATTTTCAAACATGAGTGCCTCAGACTTACTTGGTTTTGGATCCTGAGATTTTCAGAGTACTGACTTAGCCGATAATGGGTCTTCATACTACAGGGAGTACGGATCCTGAAATGCGGATCTGTGATTTCTACGTACCGTGAGCTCCCGCCTAGAAGACCCGGGGGTCTTATCCTAAATGTGCTCAAAATGGGCTGTGGGGTCTTATCTGATGGCATAGAGTGCATAAGACCCCCGGACATTTATAAATCACACAAAAATGGATTGTAAAGACCAGTATTGATGAATTTCAATATTTTTTTTGCGAATTCGAATACGGCTCAAAACGCGGAATTCTATCGCCACTCTCGCTTCGCGCACATCAATCGTTGCCACCAGGGCTCATTTTTTGTTTTGACCAACCCTTACGATCAGTCTAGCACCTGTTCAAAAACCTGATTTTCAGGGTTACCCGTTGTGGAAAACCTGATGCGTCAGGGTTTTTGCATATATTAAAACGACTACCCTGAGGCATCAGTGTACCAATTCGCAAAACCCTGTTTCAGTTGTTCTTGTAACACAGCACACAATAACAAGCTGAATCATCATCATCAGACATGCCACAAGGTTGTTGCTCGTGGTCACTGTCCTCCTCTGGCTCCGGCACTTTCTCCTTGCCTCGAATGAAACTGTATTTCTGGCCAATGGTGGCCCACCTCGTTCCAGCACACGTAAAGTCCTGCCGAAATCTACATTTTCGACAGTTGGCAAAGGGAAAATCCTGGTTCCGGGGTCGGGTGGTTAGGGGACGGGGGGGGGGGGGGGTGGGAGTTCGCTGGTACGCGCTTCAGGGTAAACCTCGATAAGCGGAACGGCAACCCTGAGGCGACAGTGTTCCTTAATCTTAAAACCTGGCACATCAGGGTAAATCAAGGTCCCGAAAAATTTACCCAACAGCATCAGTGTTACTACCAAAAATCACCCTTCTAATCAGGGCATCAGGGTGATTTACACTGATAACGTGGGCCCTGGTTGCCACGCGTCACACCTCCTGTAATGCCCAATTGTGACAGGTACGTCAGCATTTCTCGCGTGACGGGCGGCAAAAGCGCATGATCGACGTGGCATCATGACTCCATTGACCACGAATTCGCCCACAACGTGAATCTGGTGTTTTTTTCATGTGACTCGCTAAGCATCTCACCGGTTAAACACCACCCATGCAAAAGAGGGGGGGTCTTATAATGAATGGGGTCAAAAGGCGGGTCCTCTCCAGGACTGACTTAATAAAAGACCCTTGGTCCGGATAGAAGACCCACGGGGCTTGTACGCGGGGGGGTCTTGTAACCGGGAGATCACGGGTACATTCCGCTACGTCATATGTTGCCAGTGTACGAACACACTTCATGGCGCTGTCACGCGCAGAATCTGTCCTTGGCAACTTTTGCCACCCTTTTCCCTTAGAAATCGCCAACTTGGCTCACTCTTCCACTCACGCGGGACCATCACTGCAGCTACGCGGTGTCAGCGAGGGAAACTGGTTAGCGTTGCGCCCCACGTGCTACATTTGTGGCAGTACTGTATTGCAGTGGTTGTAGTGTGTTCTGAGTACTTCAGACTTGTGTTTTTGCGGAACCTAAAAAATCAGAGTGGCCATTCTCTGGGAAATATGTCTCAGACTAAAAATTTTCAGAGCCCCCAGAACATCAGACTGGATTTTTTTGAATAGTCAGCCCTGGTGGGGTCCTTCCCACAACCAGAAAAGCACGTGCATACCAAACTGTGCACAGTTTGAGATTGCACGCAGAGTAATAGGCATAGACCATACCTGTAGACAGGGCAGGGCGTCGGCGTTCACTCAAAAGGGATCAGATGCGCCTTACGATGTGGGTGGCGCGGATTTTGATGATGACGCGCAAAGCTAGTGCTCGCTGGGTGAAGATTTTTGTGTCGAAATGCATTTTATTGTGCAACTACTGCGTAGCGTAAACTCGCGGCGAAAATCGAATCGCACCCGTTCGCCCAAGCGTGACCCTCCCCTCGCCCTCGCTTTCATTTCCCTAGGTCCCACGCTTCCGCTCTCTGTCGTCCGCGTCGTCGCCATCGCTTCCGCAGCTCGTCGCGTTCGCGACCCCTGCCTGTCGCCTTCGCTCCGCCCGTCGCCTTCACTTCCCCCCCGTCGCCTTCACTCCCCCCCCCCCCTTCCCCCCCCTTCCGTCGCCTTCACTTCCCCCTCTCGTCGCCTTCACTTCCCCCTCCCGTCGCCTTCACTTCCCCCTCCCCTCGCCTTCACTTCCCCCTCCCGTCGCCTTCATTTCCCCCTCCCCGTCGCCTTCACTTCCCCTCCCGTCTCCTTCATTTCCCCCTCCCGTCGCCTTCACTTCCCCTTCCCGTCGCCTTCACTTCCCCCTCCCGTCGCCTTCACTTCCCCTTCCCGTCGCCTTCACTTCCCCCTCTCGTCGCCTTCACTTCCCCCTCCCGTCGCCTTCACTTCCCCCTCCCGTCGCCTTCACTTCCCCCTCCTCTCGCCTTCACTTCCCCCTCCCGTCGCCTTCACTTCCCCCTCCCGTCGCCTTCATTTCCCCCTCCCCGTCGCCTTCACTTCCCCTCCCGTCTCCTTCATTTCCCCCTCCCGTCGCCTTCACTTCCCCTTCCCGTCGCCTTCAAGTCCCCCTCCCGTCGCCTTCACTTCCCCTTCCCGTCGCCTTCACTTCCCCCTCTCGTCGCCTTCACTTCCCCCTCCCGTCGCCTTCACTTCTCCCTCCCGTCGCCTTCACTTCCCCCTCCCGTCGCCTTCACTTCCCCCTCCCGTCGCCTTCACTCCCCCCTCCCGTCGCCTTCATTTCCCCCTCCCCGTCGCCTTCACTTCCCCTCCCGTCTCCTTCATTTCCCCCTCCCGTCGCCTTCACTTCCCCCTCCCGTCTCCTTCATTTCCCCCTCCCCGTCGCCTTCACTTCCCCTCCCGTCTCCTTCATTTCCCCCTCCCGTCGCCTTCACTTCCCCTTCCCGTCGCCTTCACTTCCCCCTCTCGTCTCCTTCATTTCCCCCTCCCGTCGCCTTCACTTCCCCTTCCCGTCGCCTTCACTTCCCCCTCCCGTCGCCTTCACTTCCCCTTCCCGTCGCCTTCACTTCCCCCTCTCGTCGCCTTCACTTCCCCCTCCCGTCGCCTTCACTTCCCCCTCCCGTCGCCTTCACTTCCCCTTCCCGTCGCCTTCACTTCCCCCTCCCGTCGCCTTCACTTCCCCTTCCCGTCGCCTTCACTTCCCCCTCCCGTCGCCTTCACTTCCCCTTCCCGTCGCCTTCACTTCCCCCTCTCGTCGCCTTCACTTCCCCCTCCCGTCGCCTTCACTTCCCCCTCCCGTCGCCTTCACTTCCCCCTCCCGTCGCCTTCATTTCCCCCTCCCCGTCGCCTTCATTTCCCCCTCCCCGTCGCCTTCACTTCCCCCTCCCGTCGCCTTCACCTCCCCCATTTCCCCCCTTCACGCTCTCTTACCCCCTCTGCTCGCCCCTGTTTTCTCGGCTCACTCCTATACTCACTCTCTCCCTCCCTGCTCACTCTCTTCCCCCCTGCTCACTCTCTTCCCCCCTGCTCACTTTCTTTCCCCCTGTTCTCATCCCTCTTTCCCCCTTTCTCACCCATTTCCCCCCTGCTCGGTCTATTTCCCCCTGTGCTCGCCCCTAAAATCCCCTGCTCACTCCCTTACCCCTTGTTCACTCTCTCCCCCTCTGGTCACTCTCTTTCCCCCTGTACTCACCCATCTTTCCACCCTGTTTACTCTCTATTCCCCTTTGTTCAACCCTTTTTCCCCCCCAAGTCCTCTCATTTCCCCTCCTTAGCCCCATGCTTACTGGCTATCCCCTTTGCTCACCGCCTTCTCCACCCTGCTCTGCTCACTCTGTTCCCCGCTTCGCTCACTCCTCTGCCTAACTCCTCCCATACATGCCCTCCACCTTCACCCCTCGCTTATTCTGCCATATCCCCTCTTCCCTCCCCGTTCCATACAGAACCATGCGTGTACAGGTGCCAGCACCATGGGTCCCAACAGGAGTGGGTTAAAAAGTTACCACCTCCTAGCTTTGTGCTTGTTCTTATAGTCTTGTCTTGGCAACATAAATGGAACATTATTTTGCTTTGTTGCACTTTTTCATAATGCTCCAAATCACGATGTGGTGTATTATGAGACGCATCCAACCAACTTCAATAACGGTACATGGCATAGCTATTGTAGACAACTAATATTATCAAACCCTATACTCATCACAACTGGATGCATGGCAGACCTGCACAGACACGAACCACAAACTCTGATGGAGGGTGGGGAACAAAGAATGCACGGAGGCAGAAAATGAGTAAGGGAGACACGGAGGAAGGGCGGAAGGGTGAGCGAGATGAAGCGTGGGTAGGGGAGAGAGAGCACGGAAAGGCACTAAGGCAGAAGCGTGGGCGACGGTGAGAGGATGGGCGGATGAGATGATGGGCGGATGAGAGGATGGGCGGATGAGATGATGGGCGGATGAGAGGATGGGCGGATGAGATGATGGGCGGATGAGAGGAAAAAGTGCGGCTGGGTACAAGGGGGAAGGTAGAAGGGTGGAACGGTGGAGCAGGGTTGGCGTGAGGAAGGGAGTGGGAGAGTGGGAGATGGAAAGGGGAAGGGGGACTGGATCGAGGGAGGATGAGGAGAGGAAGAATGGCAGGAAAGAAGGATGGGAGGAAGGGAGGACGGGCAACAGAGAGGGTAAAGAGGGTAGGGAGGCAGAGAGATGGAGGAAGGGAGGAAGGGAGGACGGGCAACAGAGAGGGTAAAGAGGGTAGTGAGGCAGAGAGATGGAGGAAGGGAGGAAGGGAGAGGGAGAGGAGGACGACTGTGGGGGAACGACGGAACGGAGTAAGGGAGGAGGGCAGGAGGTAAAAGTGTGGTAGGGTATAAGGGTGGAACGGGGGATAGGAGGATCCCTGCACCCTCTCTCCCTAACCCCCGCCTCCCCTGCCCCGCCTCCCCCGCTCCCCTGACCCGCCCCCTGCAGCACTGCACTCCTTGCTGCCCGCCTGCACGCGCTGCCCTGGCTGTGCGCCGAACACTCTGCTCCAAAGCCGCACCACCACCTGCCATGCGTGTGGGGTTGGTGCGAGAGAGGAGAGGAGGTCAGTGCAAGAGAGAGAAGGGTGGGTGCTGCTGACCACGCACCCTTCCACACCCCACAGCGAACGAGTCACGACCCCTTCCCCAGCTCCCAGCCCAGCTCGCCATACCTCCCCGCCCAGGGTGGGTGAGAGGCTGATGGGGAGGGAGAATGAGAGAGAAGGAAATAAGGGTGCAAGGGTGGGGTGGTAACCATGGGCGATGGTAGGAGTAGAGAAGGTGGTAATGGGGAGAGCGTAAGCGACCTAACGAGGCAATTTGGAAGGGATACAACGACGACCCTAAATGCGATGGGAAGGGATGAGAGGGTGGGCGGCATGGGTGGAGACGCGATGGTGAATAGGGGGAACGTGATGGGCAGGGGAGTGATGACGACGTGGAGAGAGGTGGGAGAGAAGGGAGGTCGGCGGGAAGTCTAACCGAGGGCGATGGGAGGGCAAGCGTGGGCGACAGTGGGGGTGGGCGACGGTGGCGGTGGGCGACGGTGGGGGGAAGCATGGGCGACGGTGGGGGGAAGCGTGGGCGACCGTGGGGGGAAGCGTGGGTGACGGTGGGGGGAAGCGTGGGCGACGGTGGGGGGAAGCGTGGGCGACGGTGGGGGGAAGCGTGGGCGACGGTGGGGGGAAGCGTGGGCGATGGTGGGGGGAAGCGTGGGCGACGGTGGGGGGAAGCTTGGGCGACGGTGGGGGGAAGCTTGGGCGACGGTGGGGGGAAGCGTGGGTGATGGTGGGGGGAAGCGTGGGTGACGGTGGGAGGAAGCGTGGGCGACGGTAGGAGGAACCGTGGGCGATGAGAGGGGAATCGTGAGGGAAGGTGGGGGAAGGCGTGAGCGACGGTGTGGGGAAGCGTGGGGGAAGGCAGGAGGAAGCGTGAGCGGAGGTAAGGGGAAGCGTGAGCGACGATGGGGGAAAGCGTGGGCGACGGTGAGGGGAAGCGTGGGCGTGTGCATGGGGAGGTGTGTGAGAGACAGTGGGGAGAAGCGTGGGGGACGCGGAAGGCGATAGGTCCAAATGCGATGTTTGGGGATGGGCTAGGATTAAATGTGAAAATGCTCATGGCCTATGCTTTAGTGGCTTTTTATTCTATCTCTTCGCATGATCTAATCGCTTCGCGTACTATGGAAATCGCACGACCTGAATTACCAAAGGAGGCAAACTGTGCACATTTTGAGCCCTTGTTCCTTCAGGTGGGTGTGGTTGGGACTCTCGCTAACCAAACCCGTTCTGCTCTACGACACTCTGTTTTTTGGCGCTTTGTTTTCTGGTAACCAGCCTGGCTCGGGAGGTCAACTGTGGGTTCGGTAGGCAAACTGTGCACTGTTTGCCTTCCTTTTTTTGTAATTCAGGTCTTGGGCTTTAACTGCATCTCGCCTGGTGAAGCCGATCTTGCTCGACCCAGCTATTGTCCTGATCTCCACAGGAAGTGCCAGGGAGGAATGGATCTGCACCCAGATTTGCTGCGGGAAAGCGCATGGGATGCTGTTTGTTTCTGCTGCAGAGCACATCACTGCTTCGCGTCATCTGCACGGACAAGGAGAGTTGGGTGCGGTTATTCGCCTGACAAGGGAAAAGGAGAATCTGCATACGGTTCGCAAGGAGTATGGAATTTAACAGATCCGGACTGGCTTACCATGTCGATATCGGTTGGAGCGGCGGTTGTTGCTGTTTTCTGTCTTACCTGCCTGTGGATGCGTAGAGGCAATCAAGGAGTTATTAAATGAATACACGGAATGCCTTGACGTTTGCGGGCCTGAATGTCAACGGCCTAGGAGATTTCACGAAGCGGAAACGCACAACGGCATGGATTAACAGTAGAAAAGGAGTTGATGTCATGGTCTTGTCGGACACCCGTGTTGCAGATGATCACACTTACTGGTCCTCCCTTAACCTCACTTCCTTCGCCGCCTCCTCGTCTGTGACCCGAGCTGGAGGGGTAGCAGTCCTCAGCAGGCGAGCGGATCTCTCCTTTCATAACCCACTAGCTCACCCCTCAGGAAGGCTTGTCAAGACAGAAGTCCATTGCTCAGACCTTCGCCTCACCCTGATAGCGACCTATCTTCCTGCAGACAAAGCGGAAAAGAGAGCATTCGTTAGAATTGTTCTTAGCCCAATCTTACGCCTTATACCACCAGGCTCTCACCTGCTTATCCTAGGAGACCTTAACACTATTGAGAACCCACTGCTAGACAAGACTTCAAAGAAGGGTTCAACCAGGGAAAACGACTTTCTCTTCCACCATTGCTCGGCCTTTGCCATCTCAGACGCCTTCCGCTCACTTCATCCATCTGAACGGGAGTTTACCTTTTTTTCTCAGGCGCACCAGGAGAGCTCAAGGATTGATCGAGCATTGGTCTCTCAGTCTCTGCTCCCACGCCTGGTGTCAGCATCGCATGTCTCGTCGGATGAACCAGTCTCTGACCATGGGTTCGCCATCCGTGTAGCATTCAAACTCAAGTCGCAGTTGCAGTTGGGGCCGGGGCTTTGGCGTTTTCACCCTTCACTGCTGTGCAGGCCGGGAGCTAAGAAAAGGATAGAGGAGGTTGATCGGTCTGTCATGCGAAATGACGGGAGCTTCGCAACCCTCATCTCCCGCCTGAACGCCAGTTTACGGACATATGCAAAGGAGGAAAGCAAACGGATCAGAGCGACCATTACTCATCTCACCAAGGCAGTGGCTGCCTTGCGGCAAGAATTTATGCAGAATCCGAAAGACCAAGTGCTGAAAGAGTTGCTGAGGAAGAAAGAGCAGCAGCTTAAAGAATACTTCGCGTGTCGGCGGGACAGGATGCATACCATGGCTGGAATGGAGGCGGCGCTGTCAGGAGAGGTCCCCTCACCGCACCTGTCAGCGAGAATTAAAACACGGAAGTCCAGGACGCTGATATCCGAGGTGGCAGTGACGGGTGGAGTGGTGTCGGAGCCAAAACACATCCTGAAAGCAGCATCGGATTTCTTCCGTGATCTGTTGGGGGAAGATAAGCGAACGGCAGCTTTGGACTGGAACCCAGCGGCGGGGAAGAAGCTTTTTTACTCTGACGCGGAAAGCCTGCAAGAAGATTGGACGGAAGAGGAGGTCAGACAAGCGCTGAAGGAGATGGCTTGCAACAAAACACCAAGGAAGGATGGATTACCGAAGGAGGTGTTTGAGCAGCATTGGGATGTGCTCGGGAAGCATGTCATGGCGTTGGTCCGAGACTCCCAGCCAGTGTCAAGGACGCGGTTACGATTCTCCAGCATAAAAAGGGAGAAAAGGAGCAGTTGGAGAATTACCGTCCCATCACGCTGCTTAACATGAGCTATAAGGTGCTGGCGCGGGTTCTGGCAAGCAGAATTAAGAAGGTACTGCACAGGGTAATCTCGCAGGAGCAGTACGGCTTCATCCCGGGGAGGAGAATGTCTGATGCGATGGGGCTGGTTGCGGATGTCATTGATGCAGCTAAGAACGGGAGTGAAGACTGGTTCATGTTGCTAGTCGACTTCAAGAAGGCGTTTGATTCGGTTTCCCGGGACTACATCTTCGAGGTGATGGAGAAAATGGGCTTCCCGGCTCGTTACATTGGTTGGGTGAAGGGCCTGCACACGAACACGCGGACAAACTTGCTGATTAATGGCTGGCTAGGGGAGGCAGTGGAAGTAGTCTCAGGGGTGAGGCAAGGATGTCCCTTAGCGCCTTACCTCTTTCTGTGCGCGGTTGAGCCTTTGGCGCAGAAGGTGGTGAAGAGGAAATTGGGGATCTCCCTTACCAGCTGCGTCGACCAACGATTGGCGTACATTGGCTATGCTGACGATACGACCCTCCTGCTGCAAGGGAAACAACAGATTGGTAGGGCTGAGGAGGTGTTGGAAGCTTTTAACAAAATCTCTGGCCTGGAGACGAACAAGGAGAAATCGGTGGTGTTGCCGTTGGGAGCTAACCTGAGGAAGACGGCCTGGCGCTCAAACGGTTTTCGATGGGCGGGCGCGGATGAAGCGGAGAGGCTCCTTGGGGTATGGGTCACGCCGAGCGGGAGCTGTCAGCCGACGTGGGATAAGGCGCTGCAGAAAATTGCTGGGAAGATGGCATTGTGGCAACCGCAATACCTCCCGATTAAGGCTCGAACGGCGGTGATGGACGGGTACATCCTGCCGATTGCGTGGTCTCAGGCTCAGGTTTATCCGCCGCCTGCGCAAACCTGGAGCGTGATCACCAAAATGACACACAACTTTATGTCAGCAAACAAGGTCACGACAGAAAAATGTTTCCGCCTCTGGAGCAAGGAGCTGTTGTTCACCCCGGTACTGGAAGGAGGGGTGGGGGCGAAAAACCCGGAAACAATGCTTACCTGCCTGACCGCCAGGAGGATAGAGCTGGTACTTACGGAAACGGATCAGCTGAAGCGGGAGTTGATGCGTCGGGCAGCAGATCTACCACGGGGGCTGGAGACGTTCATGGCGCATGAAAGAATTCTGAAATCATGGGAGGGGAAAAGCCAGCGCTGGAAATTGGCGTGTGCGAATTTTATGCGCTCCCCGCTTGCGGAGACTACGGAAAAACGGGAGACTAAGGAGCTGATGTTGGAGAGGATTTCGTTTAACAGGCACATCCTCCTGAAGGGCACCACGCCGGTGGGGGGGCAAAAAGCAGCGAAGCAGCTTCTTGGTGTCAGACTTGGGGACCTGATAGGGAGAAACGCGGAAGGATGTGGAGTGCTGAAGAGCCTAGAAACCCTGGAGAGAGAGCTGCGGGGGAAGGACACAGCTAACCTAGCGCTCAAAGCATTCGCAGCAGTGCCAGAATCATGGAGGAAGCAGCTCCTCTCAGCCGAGCTTCGGAACGTGGGGTTTGCGGAGGAGTTTGATGTGGGAAGGAAAGGTCCTCTGCAGCTTCAATTGAAACTGTTGGCGGAGGGGGAAGCAGTTCCGCTACGGTCGCTCAGGAAGCACTGGAGGCATGGCAACAACGGAGTGTCTAGGCGGGAGAAGTGGGAGAGCCGATGGGGTGGCAACATTGATTGGAAGCGGGTGGTACAGATTCGTGAATCACTTGTTACCCCAAGCCGTCCGAGAGATGTGTTGCTGCGCATTCACTGCCTCAATCTGCAAGTCGGGGAGAGATTAGAATTTCTCAGCAGCAAACCGGTCTGTCCCCACTGCGGCGCTTTTGAGACTCTGGAACATTGCCTCTTGGATTGTCCGAAAATTCAAGGGGTGGTTTCGGCGATTAAAAAAAAAGCTTTACGGATGATCAACCCGGCCAGGAAAGGGGACACACTCGGTGATTGGCTGTTTGGCAAGGCGGGCTCCGTGTCAGCATTTCCAGAGGCTTCGTTGGTAGCGATTGGCCTCCATCAGCTGTGGGCGGAACGGTGCGAGGGGGCATTCAGAGGCTGCGAGTTCCGCACGCGGAGAGTTCTTCGGAAGATTGAGTCAGCTCTCCGCATGCATGTGAACGTTTATGCGCGTGCCTCGGTGGCGAGGATGCGGCAGTGTGGGAGAGTGAAGTGCGCCAGGTGGCAGAAAATGACGGAGCAGGAACGTGTTCTTCTGAGCCGTATCAGAGTGGTGGATGGCAAAAGCTGGAAGTGGTCTAACAGTTTCGCGGCAGTTTGGGGCAAACCACGCAGGCCCCGGATCCATGTCTGAGGATCGAATTCTGTCAGAATATTATGCTCTAGCCTGTAGTGGGGTGCTCTATAGCGAGTACAACCCTTCTAGGGTTTGCTATTTGTATCCTCATTCTTGCTAGTGCAATCCTCCTCTCTTCTTCCTTTTAAACTCTCACATGCTATCAGAGCAGGTCGATCCCCTTGGATCGATCCTGTGGGTGGGCTCACCACCTCGTTGCTTCCGCTGCAACTTCCACTGCTACCCTCTGTGCCGCACGCCCCGTGGCGTGCGGCAGTTTTTCTTCCCGCCGTGCGCCCCGAGGCGCGCGGCGGTTTTCTGCCCGCCGTGCGCCCCGTGGCGCGCGGCGGTTCTCTGCCCGCTGTGCGCCCCGAGGCGCGCGGCGGGCTTCTGCCCCGTCACTCGGCGCGTCGCCCTCGGGAGGCGCTGCGACGGGCGACGGGGACCCGCGCG